GATCAATTTAGTATTTTCACAGGAAAAATAGCTCTAATTGTGGTTCTTCAGTGTAGTCTTTAGAGCTGCTACTTACCATTGATCTGATCCTGCGTGAGGAACTTTGCCTGTGGGTGGAAACAACATGAAAAAGTCCTTAAAACACAAAAAAGTCACGTTTACAGGAGTCTCAGAACTCACCATGTCGCAGTCTGACGAGTGAGGAGCGAGGAAGCTGATCCGGCTGTAACAGGAGCAGGAGGAGGGACGCAGGGACAGAGACAGGACCAGACCCAGGATCAGACCCAAGACCAGACCCAGGACCAGACCCAGGACCAGACCCAGACACAAGAGGAGGAGCAGGGACAGAGAGACAGAGACAGGGACAGACTCACCAGAAAAAGGAGATTTTCAAAGATCACTGACGATGCAAGGAACAGACTGTCATGTTGGTGATGAGTTTCACTGTTGGAGCCTGACACAGAGGCAGATCTCTCCCTCAGATTACGTCAACAAATGCTTGCACTGCTAAATGGAAGCCACCGAATCATTTGAAAACTTGGTGCTCTTTAAAAAATGTTAAATGTCAATGTTAAAAATAATGTATTGCTTTGCTGTTGCTAGCTGGCTGCTAACTTGTGCTCCATACCATATATGGTCTTGAACCAGAAAGAAAGAAAAAGAGAGACCAGAGAGAGACAGATTGAGAGAGAGAGAGAGAGAGAGAGAGAGATAGACAGAGACAGAGGCCAAGCCCGAGACCAGAGAGATGGTTTTGTTTTGTAATTTGTGCTTCATATGTTAATGAGCAATAAAAAAGAAAGAAAGAAAGAAGAGAGGATGAAGACTGGGGTGAGAGAGCAGAAGTCAGGCCCTGGTTTTACTTACAGGACATAAATATTGATGAGTGTCTTTTATGTCACTCCCTCAGCGCCGACTTTGATTACACATGTTACATTTGATACGTTTGTCACAAGAAATAAAACACAAAAGGCAAAGTTACAGATATTATTACATTCTTATACAGTGTGTGTTTTTTTAAAGCTTGTGTGTGTCTTGCTCAAAGAGATGTAAGTCAGAACACCCCTCTGACTTCCCCCCCACTGTCACCAAAGAACCTGTGCCAATGCTAATGCTAACCCAGCACATAAGCGGATTAAGACACATATAGCACTTATTGTTGTTCATGTTTCTGTGTGTGTGTGTGTGTGTGTGTGTGTGTGTGTGTGTGTGTGTGTGTGTGTGTGTGTGTGTGTGTGTGTGTGTGTGTGTGTGTGTGTGTGTGTGTGTGTGTGTGTGTGTGTGTTGTGGTCCTTATCTGTGAGGTTGTGTCACACGGCGCGGTGACAGCGGGGGCTTCTGCAGCCTCTGCCGCTGACGTCAAACATGGATCATAATAATAATATCCTGATTTAAAGATTTCACAGCATGTACCAGGGGCCGGTGGGTAGTATAGGACCATGTGTGTGGTATAGGAACCAGTGTTCTTCCCCCTTAGAGAAATTTGTCTTGGGACAGTGGTCCACATGCTTTACACGTATATACATATATTAGCACACACCACAAAATACATAAAACTTGAAACTGATCAAAATAGAGCAACTCTAGGACCAGAGAAAAACAGTTAATAGGACATCATAGTATAGGACCATGTGTAGTATAGAACCATGTGTAGTATAGGACCATGTGTAGTATAGGACCATGTGTAGTATAGGACCATGTGTAGTATAGAACCATGTGTAGTATAGGACCATGTGCAGTATAGGACCATGTGTAGTATAGGACCATGTGCAGTATAGAACCATGTGTAGTATAGGACCATGTGCAGTATAGGACCATGTGTAGTATACGACCATGTGCAGTATAGAACCATGTGTAGTATAGGACCATGTGCAGTATAGAACCATGTGCAGTATAGAGGGACGTGACTAGTAGTCACGGTGGCCATACTGGAGGACAACCTAGGCGAGTAACATCCATGCTAGCTTATAACTGGACATTCAAAGCTAGAACTCTCTCAAACTATATGAAACTACATGAAAACAAAGAATTTGAAAAAATAGCAGTTAGTGACACAAATACATACTCAACCTAAATCCATGAATCAAATCCTCTGAAAATCAGTCCTAAAATGTATTGATAATGTCAATGGATACTTCCGGGTTTATTATTGTCATAAACACTTTAACAGATCATTCTGAAAACCTCCGTGCACGTGTATTAAGAATGTATATGTACTGTATAATGTATTCTCAGATGAACATTTGAATGTGTTGATTGTTATTTGTGTGGCTACACTACCAAATCAATGGAGCTTTCTGCGTCTACTGTGAGGAGCCGTATAATTTATTAATAAATACTATAGCACCTGCCTCCAGCACGGTTCAGTCGTTCACACATCTGCTGGCCTTTGCCAGGCATGGGAAGTCAGATACCCTGTGCGCTGGGTGAGGTCCAGTGCGAGAACAACCCCACGTTGCAGACAGTGATGAGTCTATATTATCCTTAAACTTAAACTTCTGATTGTTTCTGAATAACAGTAAATCCGCCACCAAATTAATTTTACTTAGCAGAAATGAAATGATGGTGTGACGCGTCTCTTATCAGCTGTTGTGGGCGGATGCGGTCAGTGAGATCCCTCAGACTGACCACGTCCGATTGAAAGCGTTTGAAATCAGGAAGCAGGGCGCACAGACCATCAACAGAGACAAGGGGGCTTTCACCTTGGCTCACACTTGGGATTCACTTCTCCAGAGACCACAGCGCGGCGGGGTACGTGGTCAGTCTGATGGATCTGTGAGATCTGTCAGACTGACTGCTTCCGGCAACAACAGCTGATAAGAGACGCGTCACACCATCACGTGTCACCTCTGATGAAGGCGGAAGTGTACCGCCCAAACATGTCAGGTATTTAAGCAGTACTAGCTTTTCTAGCTCTCTTGTTTGTCTTATTAAAAGAACCTTTAAAGCCTTAAACATCAGGGCGGGGCAGACAATAAAGACGGGAGAAACAGGACAGGAAGTCAAAATAAAACCAAAGTACAAAAAAACAAAATCCACACCATGACATAATGTCATATTTCTACACAAACAAAACCCTCCAAAAGTATAGTGTAGCATTGTTAAAACAACACTGACATCACACAGAAGACAGACTCAAAACCTGGTGCGGACCAGAGAGACAGTAATGTGATGGGATGCGATAATGAATATAATATAATAAAGGTCAGAACACAGCTGTGAAGGGGTCAGAGGGAGTTTGGTTCTAGTCACTCCTGGTGCAGGAGGAGGCTGTAGATGGTTCTGGTCACTCCCTCTGGTGCAGGAGGAGGATGTGGATGGTTCTGGTCACTCCTGATGCAGGAGGAGGCTGTAGATGGTTCTGGTCACTCCCTCTGGTGCAGGAGGAGGCTGTTGATGGTTCTGGTCACTCCCTCTGGTGCAGGAGGAGGCTGTTGATGGTTCTGGTCACTCCCTCTGGTGCAGGAGGAGGCTGTTGATGGTTCTGGTCACTCCCTCTGGTGCAGGAGGAGGCTGTGGATGGTTCTGGTCACTCCTGATGCAGGAGGAGGCTGTAGATGGTTCTGGTCACTCCCTCTGGTGCAGGAGGAGGCTGTTGATGGTTCTGGTCACTCCCTCTGGTGCAGGAGGAGGCCGTAGATGGTTCTGGTCACTCCCTCTGGTGCAGGAGGAGGCTGTAGATGGTTCTGGTCACTCCCTCTGGTGCAGGAGGAGGCTGTGGATGGTTCTGGTCACTCCCTCTGGTGCAGGAGGAGGCCGTAGATGGTTCTGGTCACTCCCTCTGGTGCAGGAGGAGGCCGTAGATGGTTCTGGTCACTCCCTCTGGTGCAGGAGGAGGCTGTAGATGGTTCTGGTCACTCCCTCTGGTGCAGGTGGAGGCTGTAGATGGTTCTGGTCACTGCCTCTGGTGCAGGAGGAGGCTGTAGATGGTTCTGGTCACTGCCTCTGGTGCAGGAGGAGGCTGTAGATGGTTCTGGTCACTCCCTCTGGTGCAGGAGGAGGCTGTAGATGGTTCTGGTCACTGCCTCTGGTGCAGGAGGAGGCTGTAGATGTTCTGGTCACTGCCTCTGGTGCAGGAGGAGGCTGTAGATGGTTCTGGTCACTGCCTCTGGTGCAGGAGGAGGCTGTGGATGGTTCTGGTCACTCCCTCTGGTGCAGGAGGAGGCCGTAGATGGTTCTGGTCACTCCCTCTGGTGCAGGAGGAGGCCGTAGATGGTTCTGGTCACTCCCTCTGGTGCAGGAGGAGGCTGTAGATGGTTCTGGTCACTCCCTCTGGTGCAGGTGGAGGCTGTAGATGGTTCTGGTCACTGCCTCTGGTGCAGGAGGAGGCTGTAGATGGTTCTGGTCACTGCCTCTGGTGCAGGAGGAGGCTGTAGATGGTTCTGGTCACTCCCTCTGGTGCAGGAGGAGGCTGTAGATGGTTCTGGTCACTGCCTCTGGTGCAGGAGGAGGCTGTAGATGTTCTGGTCACTGCCTCTGGTGCAGGAGGAGGCTGTAGATGGTTCTGGTCACTGCCTCTGGTGCAGGAGGAGGCTGTAGATGGTTCTGGTCACTGCCTCTGGTGCAGGAGGAGGCTGTAGATGGTTCTGGTCACTGCCTCTGGTGCAGGAGGAGGCCGTAGATGGTTCTGGTCACTCCCTCTGGTGCAGGAGGAGGCTGTAGATGGTTCTGGTCACTCCCTCTGGTGCAGGAGGAGGCTGTAGATGGTTCTGGTCACTGCCTCTGGTGCAGGAGGAGGCTGTAGATGGTTCTGGTCACTGCCTCTGGTGCAGGAGGAGGCTGTAGATGGTTCTGGTCACTGCCTCTGGTGCAGGAGGAGGCTGTAGATGGTTCTGGTCACTGCCTCTGGTGCAGGTGGAGGCTGTAGATGGTTCTGGTCACTCCCTCTGGTGCAGGAGGAGGCTGTAGATGGTTCTGGTCACTGCCTCTGGTGCAGGAGGAGGCTGTAGATGGTTCTGGTCACTGCCTCTGGTGCAGGTGGAGGCTGTAGATGGTTCTGGTCACTGCCTCTGGTGCAGGTGGAGGCTGCAGATAGTTCTGGGCTGTGGCACGAACAGAAGACCTTTGTGTTTCCTCCTCAGGACGGAGTCACGCCACCAACAGGTCGACCACAGAACTACAAGCAGCAGCGCCAGGAAGAAACTGTGGAGCACAAGATCTAGAGCTGTAGATACCTCCATCTGTGTCATACTGGAGAAGGTGAAGCTACAGGTGAAGAATGAGGACCTGTGTGAGAACTTCACTCCAACAGATGACAGACGTTTCTATATTTTTGTGCTTTAAGATTATATGATCATATGTTGTTGTACACAAGGATGTGACCTGGGGTTATACATGAGAGATGATATGAGATGAGATATACTTTATTATCGCACAATGGAGTAATTCACTTCGATGAATAAACATCAAGGCTGGCTGCGTAATACATCGCGCTCCTTATGACAGTTATTCAACAGCAGAGAGCAAAACAAACATATATTTCAGACAGACATTGTTTGGAGAGACACAGGAAAACATGCAGATCTTTTTGAAGGGACATTACTTTAACTCGCCTCGTCCAATGTGGCGTGTCAGAGGGGAGTGTGGGTGAGGGTGGGGGGATAGATCATAGGCTGAAAGAGAGAGAGGCAGACAATGTAGTATGGATGGGGGGGGTCAATCCTTGGCCTTGAGTGGTGTACTGTGGAGGTCAGTAGATAAGAGCGGTGCCTGCAGACATGGGACACAGTAACAACACGTTTGCCTTGTGGGAATTTGTATGAGCACTTTAGCTGGTCAGATCAAAGGCAGTGTAAACTTTAAAAGCCAATTGAGTCCAAATTAAATCATCACTGGATCTCTGGACCTCTCCGTTATCCAGAGTTGCCCACGTCAGTGCGAGAGTACGCCATGAGGCCCATGTTCTGGAGGCAGTGGAAACCAGAGCAAACCAGAGCAGTTTGTGCTCCGTTCCAGCCGGGATTCGAACCCAGGACCTTCTTGCTGAGAAGCGAGAGTGCTAACCACTCTGCTACCCACAGTGCTGAACTCACTGATCCTAAACCCTGCAAACATGTGGAAAGGTCATTCTGAAAACATGGTCTGCTGGCCTGTAATCCTAACCGTGACCCCTGACCCCTGACTCCGGCCCTGCATGGGGTCAGAGTCAGTGTCTCCTCCCCACCTCCACCTCTGCATTTCATTGCTCACATCCACTTTGCCGTGTTGCCACCAGTGCTTCGGCCCAGGATAATAATCTGCACTTGAGCATCGATCCGCACAGAGAAAAGCCAAACTAATACCTACAAACACTCACAATCAATACATCTTTTAATACATCTCGTCTCTTGTAGTCTCTCCAGATTGAATTAATAATAATGTATCGGTTTTATACAGTGGTTTTTTGGACACTCAAAGACACTTTACATGTTTTATTCTTTCACTCCATACACAGTGGTGATCAACTACTACTGTAGCCACAGTTGCCCTGGGGCACACTGACAGAAGCGAGGCAACCAGTATGTGCCATCGGCCCCTCCGACCACCACCAGACTCATTCTAGGCAATGGGGGAGAAGTGTCTTGCCTAAGGACTCAACGGCAGTTTGGCACTTCACAGCCTCAGCCGCCCCAATGTGGCTGGTGTTCCCAGAGGTTAAGTGTCTTGCCAAGGACACAACGACAGCAGGAGTCGAAGGTGAAAGTCGGGCTCGAACCCACGACCCTCTGGCTCAAAGGCCAATGCTCTAGACCAACTGAGCTACTGTCACCTCAGTTAAAGTTAAAGGAGCCCCTGCTTGTTGTTTCAGACAATTCCATAAACGTATAATACGTATTCATATTTTCTTTTATGTTTGATTTGAGATGTGATCTAAGTTGATATTTGAGATGAACATTTCCTTCTCTATATTTCCTCATACAGCACCTGTGGAAGTCACCTATATTTTCATTAAAATCAGTTAAAGAGAATGGTCTCATTGTGGGTGTTTTTGTCCACAATGTTAAAGTTATTAAAATCTGCAGTTAATTAAAAGTATTCTCTTTGCTCTTTGAATTTCACGAACTATGACAAACTTTTATCCAACTTTATAATTAAATCTGCTTAATGCAGGGTCTTGTATTTACATAATTACTCCCACACACTTTTTACTTACTCTTCAAATTAATGTTTCTCAACTAAATAAATGTAGGTTTTTAATGACTTTACATCAGAAAGTGAAAACCATTTTACAGTTGATGATCCAAGTATTTACTGCAACTTCAGCTTCAAACGTTTAGGTCTGCTTTTACGATCACATCTAACACAGCCTGGTCTCGCTTTGTGGTCTCGCTTTGTGGTCTTGCTCTGTGGTCTCGCTCTGTGGTCTCGCTTTGTGGTCTTGCTCTGTGGTCTCGCTCTGTGGTCTCACTTTGTGGTCTTGCTCTGTGGTCTCGCTCTGTGGTCTCGCTCTGTGGTCTCGCTCTGTGGTCTCGCTCTGTGGTCTCTCTGATCTATCTCTGGTCTCTCTGGTCTCTCTGGTCTCTTCTCTGGTCTTTCTGGTCTCTCTCTGGTCTCTATCTGGTCTTTCTGGTCTCTCTCTGGTCTTTCTGGTCTCTCTCTGGTCTCTCGCTGGTCTTTCTGGTCTCTCTCTGGTCTCTCTGGTCTCTCTCTGGTCTTTCTGGTCTCTCTCTGGTCTTTCTGGTCTCTCTCTGGTCTCTCTGGTCTCTCTCTGGTCTTTCTGGTCTCTCTCTGTTCTCTCAGTGCTTGCTCTCTAGTTTCTCGCTCTGGTCTCTCTCTTGACCTGTGTGGTTTAGTTTCTGTTTTTTTCTGGTTTCTTCTGGTACCTGAGGATCATAAAGCTTCCGTTGCTGTCGGTCACCAAGCCCCGCCCCCTCTGTCGCATCACCGTGGCGACCATGGCGAAACACGTGAACAAGAAGAGGACAAAAGTCTGTCGTTCTGTCACAACAAACCTGTGGGAACACAAACAGAGAGTGATGTCACGGAACCAGAACCAGGACCTGGACCAGGATCAGGACCTGGACCAGGACCTGGACCAGGATCTGGACCAGGATCTGGGGGGAAAGTGAAAGTGAGATATTAGCTAGATATGATGATATATGGGGTTTCAATGTGTTTATTGGAATACATTTGATAGTATTGATGGTATTGATAGAATTGACATTGCTTTTGCAAAGATTGCACAAGAGGATATCAAAGTACTTATGAATACTTGTAAATATCCAATATTCAATCGAGACGACAATATTGCAGAAAAATGAAGGAGAAATCAATCAGAAGTTTGTGTTTTCTGCTCCAAACCCTCTGTGTCACCGATGCACCACCTTTAACCACATGGTGCCAGAAACAAAAACTATGGTTCTGTCTCCTCTGACCTCATACTCATCAGGATGCAGTGTGGAGTAGGAAGAAGTTACGAGTAAGACTAGTATCGAAACTAAAGAAGAAGTCGAACAGGACCCTGATGGCCCGAACAAAAGGAATATTTTGAGTTAAATTACATGTTTTTGGGGAGTTTTTTTCCTCTAGTAATTGCATTTTTGTGTACATCCATCCATTTTCTTCCACTTTATCCGTTGCCGTGTCGCGGGAGCAGCAGTCTGAGCAGAGACATAGACCTCCCCTCTGTACGCACACACTGCCTCCAGCTCATCTGGGGGGGCAATCCTCAGGTGTTCCGAGTGCCCTCCTGGGTCTTCTATTTTCATTAATTTCACTGTATTTGTGTGTCGCCCTAAATCTCAGTGGATGCACCAACAGCAGATCACAGAAGCAAACCGTTCAAACACAGGAAATGCAATAATAACAAACACACAGAGACAGTGTGTGTTACGGTCTGACAGAGTTTCTTTGTCCTCATCCATCACTCAAACAAACACAGTCTTAAACAAAGAGCAGAGAGTGAAGTCATCAGAGCGAGTGCCTCATCCATAATGGAGGCAAGACCAGTCGCTCTCACACCTGAGTGAAACCAGAGCCTCACCCCCACCCCCACCCCTCACAGTCTCCCTAACCCTCACCCTCACCCTGTGATCCACAGAACCAGCCTCCTGAAGTTTGGCTCCGCTCTCTGGCTCTGTGTAAAAGTAAACTTCTCTTGCACTGTTTTCACACTCTCTGAGATTCTGCTGTGTATGTGTGTTTGTGGCTCACCCATCCTTCTCTCTCCCTCTGACCTCACCCATCCTTCTCTCTCCCTCTGACCTCACCCATCCTTCTCTCTCCCTCTGACCCTCACCCATCCTGCTCTCTCCCTCTGACCTCACCCATCCTTCTCTCTCCCTCTGACCTCACCCATCCTTCTCTCTCCCTCTGACCTCACCCATCCTTCTCTCTCCCTCTGACCTCACCCATCCTTCTCTCTCCCTCTGACCTCACCCATCCTGCTCTCTCCCTCTGACCTCACCCATCCTTCTCCCTCCCTCTGACCTCACCCATCCTTCTCTCTCCCTCTGACCTCACCCATCCTGCTCTCTCCCTCTGACCTCACCCATCCTTCTCTCTCCCTCTGACCTCACCCATCCTTCTCTCTCCCTCTGACCTCACCCATCCTTCTCTCTCCCTCTGACCTCACCCATCCTGCTCTCTCCCTCTGACCTCACCCATCCTTCTCTCTCCCTCTGACCTCACCCATCCTTCTCTCTCCCTCTGACCTCACCCATCCTTCTCTCTCCCTCTGACCTCACCCATCCTTCTCTCTCCCTCTGACCTCACCCATCCTTCTCCCTCCCTCTGACCTCACCCATCCTTCTCCCTCCCTCTGACCTCACCCATCCTGCTCCCTCCCTCTGACCTCACCCATCCTGCTCTCTCCCTCTGACCTCACCCATCCTTCTCCCTCCCTCTGACCTCACCCATCCTTCTCCCTCCCTCTGACCTCACCCATCCTTCTCCCTCCCTCTGACCTCACCCATCCTTCTCCCTCCCTCTGACCTCACCCATCCTGCTCTCTCCCTCTGACCTCACCCATCCTTCTCTCTCCCTCTGACCTCACCCATCCTTCTCCCTCCCTCTGACCTCACCCATCCTTCTCTCTCCCTCTGACCTCACCCATCCTTCTCCCTCCCTCTGACCTCACCCATCCTTCTCCCTCCCTCTGACCTCACCCATCCTTCTCCCTCCCTCTGACCTCACCCATCCTGCTCTCTCCCTCTGACCCTCACCCCATCCTTCTCCCTCCCTCTGACCTCACCCATCCTTCTCTCTCCCTCTGACCTCACCCATCCTTCTCTCTCCCTCTGACCTCACCCATCCTTCTCCCTCCCTCTGACCTCACCCATCCTTCTCCCTCCCTCTGACCTCACCCATCCTTCTCCCTCCCTCTGACCTCACCCATCCTGCTCTCTCCCTCTGACCTCACCCATCCTTCTCCCTCCCTCTGACCTCACCCATCCTCTCTCTCCCTCTGACCTCACCCATCCTTCTCTCTCCCTCTGACCTCACCCATCCTTCTCTCTCCCTCTGACCTCACCCATCCTTCTCCCTCCCTCTGACCTCACCCATCCTTCTCCCTCCCTCTGACCTCACCCATCCTTCTCCCTCCCTCTGACCTCACCCATCCTGCTCTCTCCCTCTGACCTCACCCATCCTTCTCCCTCCCTCTGACCTCACCCATCCTTCTCTCTCCCTCTGACCTCACCCATCCTTCTCTCTCCCTCTGACCTCACCCATCCTGCTCTCTCCCTCTGACCTCACCCATCCTGCTCTCTCCCTCTGACCTCACCCATCCTTCTCTCCCTCCCCCTCTCCTCTGACCTCACCCATCCTTCTCTCTCCCTCTGACCTCACCCATCCTTCTCTCTCCCTCTGACCTCACCCATCCTTCTCTCTCCCTCTGACCTCACCCATCCTTCTCTCCCCTCTGACCTCACCCATCCTCTCTCTCTCCCCCTGACCTCACCCCATCCTCTCTCTCCCTCTGACCTCACCCATCCTTCTCTCTCCCTCTGACCTCACCCATCCTTCTCTCTCCCTCTGACCTCACCCATCCTTCTCTCTCCCTCTGACCTCACCCATCCTTCTCTCTCCCTCTGACCTCACCCATCCTTCTCTCTCCCTCTGACCTCACCCATCCTTCTCTCTCCCTCTGACCTCACCCATCCTCTCTCTCTCTGACTCCCCATCCTCTCTCTCCCTCTGACCTCACCCATCCTTCTCTCTCCCTCTGACCTCACCCATCCTTCTCTCTCCCTCTGACCTCACCCATCCTTCTCTCTCCCTCTGACCTACCTCACCCACCCTCCTTCTCTCTCCCTCTGACCTCACCCATCCTGCTCTCTCCCTCTGACCTCACCCATCCTTCTCTCTCCCTCTGACCTCACCCATCCTGCTCTCCCTCTGACCTCACCCATCCTTCTCTCTCCCTCTGACCTCACCCATCCTTCTCTCTCCCTCTGACCTCACCCATCCTGCTCTCTCCCTCTGACCTCACCCATCCTTCTCTCTCCCTCTGACCTCACCCATCCTGCTCTCTCCCTCTGACCTCACCCATCCTTCTCTCTCCCTCTGACCTCACCCATCCTTCTCTCTCCCTCTGACCTCACACCATCCTTCTCTCTCCCTCTGACCTCACCCATCCTTCTCTCTCCCTCTGACCTCACCCATCCTTCTCTCTCCCTCTGACCTCACCCATCCTCTCTCTCCTCTGACCCCTCTGACCTCACCCATCCTTCTCTCTCCCTCTGACCTCACCCATCCTTCTCTCTCCCTCTGACCTCACCCATCCTTCTCTCTCCCTCTGACCTCACCCATCCTTCTCTCTCCCTCTGACCTCACCCATCCTTCTCTCTCCCTCTGACCTCACCCATCCTTCTCTCTCCCTCTGACCTCACCCATCCTGCTCTCTCCCTCTGACCTCACCCATCCTTCTCTCTCCCTCTGACCTCACCCATCCTTCTCTCTCCCTCTGACCTCACCCATCCTTCTCTCCCTCCCTCTGACCTCACCCATCCTTCTCTCCTCCCTCTGACCTCACCCATCCTTCTCTCTCCCTCTGACCTCACCCATCCTTCTCTCTCTCTCCCTCTGACCTCACCCATCCTTCTCCCTCCCTCTGACCTCACCCATCCTGCTCTCTCCCTCTGACCTCACCCATCCTTCTCCCTCCCTCTGACCTCACCCATCCTTCTCTCTCCCTCTGACCTCACCCATCCTTCTCCCTCCCTCTGACCTCACCCATCCTTCTCTCTCCCCTCTGACCTCACCCATCCTTCTCTCTCCCTCTGACCTCACCCATCCTTCTCCTCTGACCTCACCCATCCTGACCTCACCCCCATCCTTCTCTCTCCCTCTGACCTCACCCATCCTTCTCTCTCCCTCTGACCTCACCCATCCTCTCCTTCTCCTCTCCCTCCTCTGACCTCACCCATCCTGCTCTCTCCCTCTGACCTCACCCATCCTGCTCTCTCCCTCTGACCTCACCCATCCTTCTCTCTCCCTCTGACCTCACCCATCCTTCTCTCTCCCTCTGACCTCACCCATCCTTCTCTCTCCCTCTGACCTCACCCATCCTGCTCTCTCCCTCTGACCTCACCCATCCTGCTCTCTCCCTCTGACCTCACCCATCCTTCTCTCTCCCTCTGACCTCACCCATCCTTCTCTCTCCCTCTGACCTCACCCATCCTTCTCTCTCCCTCTGACCTCACCCATCCTGCTCTCTCCCTCTGACCTCACCCATCCTGCTCTCTCCCTCTGACCTCACCCATCCTTCTCTCTCCCTCTGACCTCACCCATCCTTCTCTCTCCCTCTGACCTCACCCATCCTTCTCTCTCCCTCTGACCTCACCCATCCTGCTCTCTCCCTCTGACCTCACCCATCCTTCTCTCTCCCTCTGACCTCACCCATCCTTCTCTCTCCCTCTGACCTCACCCATCCTTCTCTCTCCCTCTGACCTCACCCATCCTGCTCTCTCCCTCTGACCTCACCCATCCTGCTCTCTCCCTCTGACCTCACCCATCCTGCTCTCTCCCCCCATCCCTCACCCACCCTATACTCTCTCCCCCCAGCCCTTACCCTGCACCCTGCTCTCTCCCCCTGCTTTTTTCTAAAACCCTCACCCACCCTGCTTTCTGACCCTGCTCTCTCCCCCAGCCGTCTCCCCCAGGACTCAGGACTCAGGACTGACTATACATGAATGCAGATGAGGGCAGTTAAACACACCGCTGCAGAGAGGTGGACGAGGATCTGACAGCTGCTTTAGTTCTTCTCCACGTGTTTCTCTTATTAGATTTAATAAGTTCTCAAGGTTTTTGTGCAGAAGCAGAACATTTTTGCATAAAGCACCGATTTTTAAGAAGACAAAACCCACCATCTGCTGCTGCATTGTTTACTAATGTAATAAACTTTCAAACCCAGATCAGTATTGACCTGGACATTCTGAGCCTTCATCCTGTACATTGAAGCCAATACGAGGTCAGACAGATGCATTCGAACATAGTTGAAATAAAAATGTTTGAAGCTGGATTTCTGCTTCATAAATGCATCTTGTTTGTCCAGAGAAAGTGTTGATGGGCAGTACGGTGGCGCAGCTTCACAGAAAAATTGTCATTGATTCATCATAATCAGTTATAGAACAGTAGGAATTAGGGCTCTGAAAGCTTTTTCTAAAATAATCCACTTTAAACTGTCGTCTGCTGTTTATTCTATGTTCAAAACCAGATAAGTGGCTCGTCTCATATCTGCAGACTGCTCTGGGAGTCACGGGCAACTCTACATAAGCCTGCTCCAGTATCCACGACTGTGGCAGGTAGTGACTGTGCAGTTAGAGACTGTGCAGTTAAAGACTGTGGCAGTTAGTGACTGTGGCAGGTAGTGATAATCACTCTCGATAATGTCAGTATTGTACCCGGTAACACTGTGAGGAATCTTAGAGTAATTTTTGAGGAAGAACTCTCCTTCAAGGCTTATATAAACCAAGCAACTAAAACGGCGTACTTCCACTTTACTGAACATCGCTAAAATGAGGAATTTCCTTCCTAAAAGTGACACAGAAAAACGTATTCACGCTTTTGTCACCTCAAAACTTTACTACTGTAACGCTTTATTGGCAGCATGCCCTAAAACCTCTTTGAAGAGCTTCCAGCTCGTTCAGAATACAGCAGCTAGGATCTTAACAGGTACCAAAAGGAGGGAGCACATAACTCCGGTGTTAAAATCACTCCACTGGCTCCTTGTGGAGTACAGAATAAAGTTTAAAATCCTTCTCTTAACATATAAAGCCATAAATGGCTTGGCTCCTTCCTATCTCCAAGACACGTTAGTGTCGTATCAACCAAGTCGAGCGTTGCGCTCACAAAATGCCAGACGTCTGGTGGTTCCTAAGGGCTCAAAAATCACTGTTGGCGGCAGAGCATTTAGCTACCAAGCTCCTTTACTGTGGAATCAGCTTCATTTATGTTAAGGAAGCAGATACGGTCTCCACATTCAAGGCCAGGCTTAAAGCACTCTACTTTAATTTAGCATATAATTAGGTAATATATAATATATGGTGTATATATTATATATATATGCTATATTATGTTCTATATTATGCTGTATGTTATGTTATGTATTATATATAATATATAATATATATAATATGTATGATACATGTGATATATATGATATATATATGATATATAATATATATATATATATATATATATATATATATATATATATATATATATATATATATATATATATATATATATATATATATATATATAATAACTTTCAGGTGGCTTTGGTGCTCCCGTGTCTGTGAGGTTATCTTCCACATTATGCAAAACAGTTCTGTACTTTCTGCATCAGAGAAACCCATTCCATCTGTTCCTCAAGCTCATACTGAGAGGAGCAGCGCCCTCTGCTGGTCAGACTCAGAAGCAAGTCCTTATAGGTTTGTAGGTGTACAGGGGTGCCCAAACTTTTCAGTGAAAATGTAGCTCCACTGTAATAACAGTCGTGGTTTGCTGAAGCCAGAATCAAAACCAGACCAGTTTAGTTTCGACATCAGTGATATAAAATAATGACAAAAACAGAACATTTTAGTGAATAAATCCTTACGGCCACATGAAATATTGCAGTTTCTCCAAAGAACGTTTCTAAATAATCCTGAATCACAATTATCATCAAGGGAGCTTTGATATTTGTGTCACGATACTAAACTTCGATCACACTTGTTAGAGCTGAAGTTGGCTGAAAACTGTTCACCTCTATACAAGTTACATCAGAATGTTGTGATTTTAAAGGGTCCAAAGTCACTACACCCTCCCCCCGCTGCAGGTCTACAGGAGAACCTAGATGAATTAGAAATTGAGATTTATCAAACCTTTGTTAGAAAGGTATGGACGGCTCCCTCTTTGTCTGTGTCTCTCTATCTTTTTCTGTGTCTGTGTCCTGTCTCTGTGTCTATGTGTCTGTGTCTGCCTCTGTGTCTGCCTCTGTGTCTGTCTTTGTGTTTGTGTCTGTCTCTGTGTCTGTGTCTGTCTCTGTGTCTGTCTCTGTGTCTGTCTGTGTCTGTGTCTGTCTCTGTCTCTGTCTCTGTGTCTGTGTCTGTGTCTGTCTCTGTCTCTGTCTCTGTCTCTGTGTCTGTCTCTGTCTCTGTCTCTGTGTCTGTCTCTGTGTCTCTGTCTGTCTCTGTCTGTCTCTGTCTCTGTGTCTGTCTCTGTCTCTGTGTCTGTCTCTGTGTCTGTGTCTGTGTCTGTCTCTGTCTCTGTGTCTGTGTCTGTCTCTGTCTCTGTGTCTGTCTCTGTATCTGTGTCTGTCTCTGTGTCTGTCTCTGTGTCTGTCTGTGTCTGTGTCTGTCTCTGTGTCTGTCTGTGTCTGTGTCTGTCTCTGTGTCTGTCTGTGTCTGTGTCTGTCTCTGTCTCTGTGTCTGTCTGTGTCTGTGTCTGTCTCTGTGTCTGTCTGTGTCTGTGTCTGTCTCTGTGTCTCTGTCTATTTCTGTTGTTTGTGCTGAATACTGTACTGAACTTCTGCTGGACGAACATAAGAATGTAGAGCACAGAACCAGCAGAGTCCTCACCAGATGTAGAGTGCTGTCGGCAGGACGAGGATCCAGCTCCATCTGGAACTTTCCTGCTGCTGCTTTTTGTGACAGAAACATCCTCCGAAGTAAAGGAACAGGACCAGGAAGAAGGAGAGAGACCTGAAGAGATACAGTACCATAAAGAACGAGGAAGAGGGACCATAAACACATCTGGAAGAAGAGGGATCATAAAGACCTGCAGTAGAGTAACCGTAAAAATATCACTTTTTTCTGTTCAGGGGTTTGGTTCAATCCTGTGTCTCTTTTTTTTCCAGTTAAATACTTCACTCACAGATGCTGCTCACTGGCCCCACTGTTGTCTGAGGGGGCAGGACTTAAGACTCTTGTCTGAGGGGGCGTGACTAAAGACTGTTGTCTGAGGAGGCGTGACTTAAGACTGTTGTCTGAGGGTTGTGACTTAAGACTGTTGTCTGTGACTTGAGACTGTTGTCTGAGGAGGCGTGACTTAAGACTGTTGTCTGAGGGGTGTGACTTAAGACTGTTGTCTGAGGGGGCGTGAATTAAGACTGTTGTCTGAGGGGGTGTGACTAAAGACTGTTGTCTGAGGGGGTGTGACTTAAGACTGTTGACTGAGGGGGTGTGACTTAAGACTGTTGTCTGTGACTTGAGACTGTTGTCTGAGGGGCGCGAATTAAGACTGTTGTCTGAGGGGGTGTGACTTAAGACTGTTGTCTGAGGGGGCATGACTTAAGACTTGTCTGAGGGGGTGTAACTTAAGACTGTTGTCTGAGGGGGTGTGACTTAAGACTGTTGTGTGAAGGGGTGTGACTTAATACTGTTGTCTGAGGGGGTGTGACTTAAGACTGTTGTCTGAGGGGGCGTGACTTGAGACTGTTGTCTGAGGGGGTGTGACTTAAGACTGTTGTCTGAGGGGGCGTGACTTGAGACTGTTGTCTGAGGGGCGCAACTTAAGACTGTTGTCTGAGGGGGTGTGACTTAAGACTGTTGTCTGAGGGGGTGTGATTTGAGACTGTTTTCTGAGGGGCGCAACTTAAGACTGTTGTCTGAGGGGGTGTGACGTAAGACTGTTGTCTGAGGGGGTGTGACTTAAGACTGTTGTCTGAGGGGGTGTGACTTAAGACTGTTGTCTGAGGGGTGTGACTTAAGACTGTTGTCTGAGGGGGTGTGACTTAAGACTGTTGTCTGAGGGGGTGTGACTTAAGACTGTTGTCTGAGGGGGTGTGACAAGACTGTTGTCTGAGGGGTGTGACTTAAGACTGTTGTCTGAGGGGGTGTGACTTAAGACTGTTGTCTGAGGGGGTGTGACTTAAGACTGTTGTCTGAGGGGGTGTGACTTAAGACTGTTGTCTGAGGGCGTGTGACTTAAGACTGTTATCTGAGGGGGCGTGACTTGGGAGGGCCATTTTATTTTTCAAATAATAAATATTAAATAATGATATATTCCGTCTAAGTACTTCCTCAAAAACGGTTTCCATCAGAAGTTAAACATTTTGAATTTAGTGCATACATTTCCCAGTGTAACATCACCAGATTTGAAGGGACTTCCTTTAAAATGTCACATTGCATAAATAAAGGCTTTGCTTTGTCTCATGGTGTAAACACGTTATAAAACTGTAAGAAATATATAACAACACATCCATGGTAAATGTCATTGTTGTGATGGAAGCCCTGTGTGTAAGGTTCTGTGCTCATCGGTCTTCGGTTCAACACGTGGCTCTGGTTTTAAAGTTCAGATCAATGTAAAGACCTCATCAATCATCAATCTGTCCATAGTGCTGACCTCAGAGGATCACCGCGTCACATGACCCACTCACCATGTCACATGACCCACTGTATCACCATAGTAACCCAGGAGCTCGAATGCGTCGACCTGGAGAGAAAAGAAAATACTAAACATATTTCTGACTTGAGTATTTTTATATTTACAGAATGGAAAAATACGAAGTGTATACAAAGAGGGGTCTGACTGAGTTTGACATCACCACGGTGTGACATCACCACAGTGAGCTGATTTGTACTTAAACTAGAGTTTTATCAAGTAAGGGTTTAGGCTAGAGTAGAGTTTGGACTAGGGGTTAGAGGTCAGAGGGTAAAAGTTTAGGTTGGAGTAGGGATGGGCTATAGGACTAGGGTCTGGTCTAGGATTAAGAATAATTTAGAGCAGGGGTTCAATTAAATTTTTTGTTTAGCCCTAAATAACAACAGTAGTTATCTCAGACGACTTTACAAAGTTGTCAACACAGATCAATGAATCAAACAGTTCAAATAAAGGAAATGCAATAATATAAAAACACATAGAGCCATTTGTCCTTAACACTAGAAAACCCAACCGAAATTGGCCCCTGTTTTGAGAAGAGGGAGCTAACTTGCTAGGTTGGCTGCTAACATTTGCATGTATTGATTTGCGGGGCCGATGAGCAATGTCCATAAATGTGGTTGATTGTGGAGTGTCCTGGATCATCACTGTCCTTAGACCCTCCTGATTGGAATAGAAAGGGTTGGTTTGGAGACCGGCAGAGCAGACGCCTTAAATGTTCAGGTTCAGACTGAACTCACCTGAGGATACTTGTGGGGTCTTGCTCTGATGAAACACCTGCAGCCAGTCTCCAAACAAGCCTTGGAGACCCCTGGGGTTAGGGTCGGATCCACTTGCCCCTGTGATCCTGTACTCGAATTTACTTGAGTTGAGTACAGGAGTACAATATGTGTTATCAGATTGTGTATTTTATTCACCAACAACGTTCTGTTGTTGGTGAATCCATAACTCTGTCAAGTCCTCAGAGGTGACTGCTGGTTTGATTCACTGTGATACATAAATAAATTGAATGAATGATGCTGATTCATAAAGTGTGAATGAAATGTTTTTAACCATTTCTGGAGCTGTGAGGTCCTTCATGAGCTTGTTCTCTCTGATTGACAGGTGTAGGTTGTAACCGGCGGCAACCAAACGCAGCGTCACCGCGTCCGTCACCAGGTGAGCCGTGGTTCCCATGGCGACCGCGGTGATGCCCAGGTGAAGAAGGAAGTCCGGGAAGCTCCTGGGACTGCGCTCCAGAAACTGTGAACCACACAGACATTTTGGCTTTATTAGAGATGTCTTAAACCCTCTGAGGAGCAGCACTTTGAGGAGCAGCACTTTGAGGAGCAGCACTTTGAGGACCAGCACTTTGAGAACCAGCACTTTGAGAAGCAGCACTTTGAGGAATAAGGAAATGTGTTTTACACTTTTGACAGGATTTATAACAAAAGTTCACATAAACATAAGCTTGACCAAATCTTTAGATGTTTGATTTTATTTTCTTGTTGACATCACACTAAGATGTTACCAAAATCAAGGGTTCCCCATTTCCACCAGCCCTACTCTACTCTACTCTTCTCTACTTTACTCTGTACGGCTCTACTTGGTTGTGTTTCCATTATGCTTTAACCCAACCACAACAAACCAATTTCCAGGGAAAATTGGTTTGGGGACAAATTTTGTTTCAGCTGAACTCAACATCTACTTCTTCATTAATATTGAATGAGTTGAATCAGCGAACGCAGCTGTTCACCGCATTTATTAGAGTGCACCTAAACCAAAACCTCCCACACCACATAAATAAACAGATATACCAATAAAAACTGTATCATTTCAACTTATAATTATCCCAAATAATAGGACAACATTGATGTTTTCTTTCTCTCTCTCTCTCTGGTCTCTCTTTCTGGTCTCTCTCTCTGGTCTCTCTCTGGACTCTCTCATAAACGTATCTAGAAGAGATATTTATGAGACAGGTCTAAGTAAGTAAGTAAGTAAGTAAGCTTTATTTATATACCGCCTTTCACAGACCAGAGTCACAAAGCGGTTTACAATTGTTATTTTTTGGGCACTTGTCCTCCACGTTTTACTCCCGACCACAGCAGCTACACTTCTGCTGCTGTGACATAAAGTGCTGTTGCACTTTAATACTATTGTTAGCTATTTTTAGAATTATCTAAAAATGTCTGCTGCTACTGGGCACCTGAATTTCTCCGACAGGGAACAATAAAGTATCTACCTATCTATCTATACATGAATGTAGTTGTCAGTACTTTGATGAGAATCAGAGGGAAGCTGCAGCAGTGGAGCAGGTGGAGGCATTCTGAAGGACCAGGACGATTCAGAGGAAACCAGCCACAAGGAATCACCCACTGGAAGCACATCAGAAATATATGAATACAAAACCCATCACATATATATGTAGATAAAACATATAAAACAAACAACATAATAAATATATTTATATCAAACATATAAACAAACATCCTAATTATTTGCAGAATCTGGAGGAAAAGCCACTGAACAAACCCTTAAAGAACTATCATAAGTTTATGTAAACTCACAAACATGGACTTATAAGGACTTGAGAGTATTCTTAAAGCTGGGGTACCTAACTTTTGCTGATGAAGCCAGAAGAAGAAACACCATATGTGTAACTCTCAAGCCCCGGCGATCCAAGATGGCGCCGTATTCAAATGAATGGTTGTGCTCAGTGGCGCTTTGTGCCGGCATGGGGGCTGAAAGATTAGCGGAAGTTGCCTGCAACTCGCAAAGATCCATGGGAAACTCGCAAAGATCTATGGGAAACTCGCCTGTATTTGGGCATCATCTGGTCCTCCCGGTTCTGTGCAGTGGATGAACTCCCATAATGCGTTGCGCCAAACACGCGTGTGTGGGTCTCACACCGGGTCTCACGCACGTGCACAGAGGCGCTCGGTTGCGCTCTGACCAATCAGAGCAGTTCATCAGAGCGGGAGTTAGAGCGAGAGCCAGACGAGCAGAGTTTGTGGCACTAAAGTGTGGGTTTAAACAAAACCGAAGGATTTTAGAAGAAAAAAAGTTCAGGATGAGAAGGGACACAAAAATCCCCACAAAATCCGATCTTTATTAAAGCTGTAGGTTCTGTCAGCTGAGATGGCGCTGTTTTAGTTTACATTGAGAAAATTTCTGGGTAGCCCACATGAATTTATTCTGGTTCAGTCTGCAGTACCGCGAGAATCCGCCGAGCACATGAGTTATTCAGCTACAAGCTAGTAATACCCTATCCAGTTATTATAATAGATCCATGGTACCTCTGCACTACAGGGGACGACACAGGTCCCAGAGACAGAACCATGGACAGTGATCATCCGGCTCCCTATGGACCAGTGGCTCTATGTGATTGTTATCATTGCATTTCCTGTGTTTGAACTGTTTATTCTCTGATCTGTTGTTGGTGAATCCACAACTTTGTAAAGTCCTCTGAGACGACTGCTGTTGTGATTTAAGGTGAGACTCAAATAAGAGATAAGATAAGACGTGCTTTATTTATCTCACAGAGGAGAAATTTACATGTCACATTTGGCATGGATAGAACACTCAGATTGTGCAAAAGGAGGAAATGTGCAAACATGTTACATGCAGGATATATGTACAATAAAGTGACAATAATTATGTACAACAAAAGTGACAAGTGTCAATTGGAAACAGTGTCAATAACAAGTGTCAATTGGAAATACATTGAATTGAATCCAAACCTCCAACAGGTCCAGGAGCCAGACCCCAAAAAACACCAGTGTCTCTGAGTTGGAGCAGACTTTGGAAATGTTCTTGAAATTATTCAAAATAAATATTTTTGAGGAGACCTGCATAAGCTATTACTACAAGCCTCCGATACCATTGTGCTCCATGACAGACACACAGACACAAACACATACACTCACACACAGACAGACAGACGTCTGCGCTTGTCAAGAGTTGATTAGAAGCGTCGTTACCATGACCACAGCCCGTCCCAAATCCAGAAACCAGGCCTGGAGCAGGAACACGGCCCATAGATCCAGGTGGAACTGAGGCCTGGGCTGACGCAGGTCCTGATCCTGCAGTCTCCCAGCACTGAGGAAGAGGAGGAGTACAGTATATGAGACTCGCTCAGGGGAAGAGTATGAGAGCCAGGTTAAAATACAGGTCTCTCAGTCTAACATTGTCACCTCTTCTATATACATTTATGAGGGAGAGACCAGAGAGAGACCAGAATGAGACCAGAGAAACCAGAAAGAGAGACCAGTAGAAGAGAGATCATTGAGAGACCAGAGGGAGGGACCAGTGAAAGACCAAAGAGAGACCAGAGAGATCGGAGAGAGACCATATCGTTGAAATTGGATTACGCTCTTCTGTTTTGCTCTTTCTCTTTGTCCTGTTCGTTCTTTCCCTCTCTCTCTCTCTCTTCCTCCCTCTCTCTCTGTGGCTGTGAGTGTGTGTTTGTGTCTCGCGCTCTCTCGCGCTCTCCATCGCGCTTTCTCTCTCTCTCTCGCTCTCTCTCTCTCTCTCTCTCTCTCTCCTTCTTTTTATGGCTGTGTGTGTGTGTGTGTCTCGCTCTATCTCTCTCTCTCTCTTTCTCTTTTCCTCCCTCTCTCTATGGCTGTGTGGGTGTGTGTCTCGCTCTCTCTCTCACCCTCTCTCCATGCCCTGTTCTTCTCCCCTCTTGTTGCTTCTGTTGTGTGAGATCAAACTTGGCTCATAAATTATGGATTGAAGCCTTGAGGCGGATTGGAAAGTGATTCTCGAAGACAGAAAGTGTAGAGTCAGCTTTTGTTTTCAGCAACAAGAAAATAACCAGAGTCACACAGAGTCACAGAGTCACGCAGAGTCACGCAGAGTCACGCAGAGTCACGCAGAGTCACGCAGAGTCACGCAGAGTCACACAGAGCTGCATGTGTCCAGTTAATGAACAACAGTATTAACAATTTAACACCTCCATAATTCTGAATCACTTAAACCAACTCCCTCTGATACTGTGTTTCTCCAAAATCACGAGGGACATAAAGAGCAGGGTTTTTGTGTTTTTCAGGCCACAACAGGTCTTCCTCTTTTGTACACGGGGCCCATGTGAGTCACTATTTGACTCTTTGGGCTGAAAGCTGATTGACTGAGTGAGGGTGGTCTTCCCTTTTCAATTTTCTGTCTGAAAAAGTTGATCTGAAGATGTAACAGAGGCCAAACATACAGTACATGTGTGTGAGAGAACGAAAGACAAGAGAGATACCAGAGAGAGACTAGAGAGAGACCAGAGAGAGACCAGAGAGAGATACCAGAGAGAGACTAGAGAGAGACCAGAGAGAGACCAGAGAGAGATACCAGAGAGAGACTAGAGAGAGACCAGAGAGAGACCAGAGAGAGATACCAGAGAGACACCAGAGAAAGACAATAGGCCTGACGGAGAGAGAGACCAGCGAAATACCAGAGAGAGACTAGCGAGAGACACAGGAGAGTGAGACCAGAAAGAGAGAGACCAGCGAAAGAGTAGAAAGAGACCAGAGAGACCAAAGAGAGACCAGAAAAAGGTACAGGTGAGGTAAAAATCATGTGAAAACTAGTGATAGAATCAACTGTTTTGCGAGCAAGGATCTAGTTTTCTTCTGCATAGTTCTATTCCATGGGATTTAAAAGTAGAGTACACAAGCTTTAACAGACCCACACCCAGCACCCACCTGGCCTGCAGCCTCTTCCTGTACGACACTTGCATTTCTCCAAAACCAGGGACCAGAGATTTAGTTTCCCTGTCACTCTGCCTCTGTGTCTCTGTCCTCACTGAGAGAGTTGATCGTTGTTAATGCTCAAAGAAGAGTCAGAGAAATGAGATAAAGTGGATCCTGCGGTTTGTGTGTCATTCTTTAATCCTCTAATCTGTGCAATCTGCCACAATACTCTTACATTAGCCATAATCTGACTTTATGAAAACACAGAGGGATTAACAGACAGACACAGACAGGCCCTACAGCATACCCCTCTGTCTGTGCTCTGATAGACACACAGACAGACACTGATGTGCTCGGATGGTCCTATGGTCTCTGATGGTGCTCTTACCTGAGTCTTTTTTGTCTGCTGTGCAGTATGTAAATGTGTGTGGTATCTGTACAGCATGTGAACCCCTGTCACAGACACTTTTCTCCTGTGGGAGACGATAAGTAGGATCTTATCTCACACCAAACCAAGTGAGCAGCGACTGAGAGAGAGGACATGGAGGAACAGGCAGCGACTGAGAGAGAGGACATGGAGGAACAGGCTGCGACTGAGAGAGAGGACATGGAGGAACAGGCTGCGACTGAGAGAGAGGACATGGAGGAACAGGCAGCGACTGAGAGAGAGGACATGGAGGAACAGGCAGCGACTGAGAGAGAGGACATGGAGGAACAGGCTGCGACTGAGAGAGAGGACATGGAGGAACAGGCTGCGACTGAGAGAGAGGACATGGAGGAACAGGCAGCGACTGAGAGAGAGGACATGGAGGAACAGGCAGCGACTGAGAGAGAGGACATGGAGGAACAGGCTGCGACTGAGAGAGAGGACATGGAGGAACAGGCTGCGACTGAGAGAGAGGACATGGAGGAACAGGCTGCGACTGAGAGAGAGGACATGGAGGAAGAGGCAGCGACTGAGAGAGAGGACATGGAGGAACAGGCAGCGACTGAGAGAGAGGACATGGAGGAACAGGCAGCGACTGAGAGAGAGGACATGGAGGAACAGGCAGCGACTGAGAGAGAGGACATGGAGGAACAGGCTGCGACTGAGAGAGAGGACATGGAGGAACAGGCTGCGACTGAGAGAGAGGACATGGAGGAACAGGCTGCGACTGAGAGAGAGGACATGGAGGAACAGGCTGCGACTGAGAGAGAGGACATGGAGGAACAGGCTGCGACTGAGAGAGAGGACATGGAGGAACAGGCAGCGACTGAGAGAGAGGACATCACTGTCTTTGATCCTTATACCACACTTCACTTTGATGTGAGTGTTGTGTAGCACAGATTGTAGACTGAACCTTTCCTTCTCATGTTTCAGATTCAATATTTGACTTTCTGCCAAAATTTCAGTTGGCATCGGGTTTAATTGCGCGTCCAAAAATATTTTCTTTTTCGGCTCAGTCCCAGAGGATGTGATCAATCATTATACATTTTGTACTAAAATTCAATGCAACTCCTGCGTCAGGTTCTGGTGGGAGTGGATATAGATTCATAACATACTTGTATTATTCTTATATGAACTTTGTTTTACTTGAGAGTCCCATATGTCCATGTATTGTCCTTAATTGTTTCTAAAGATAAGATTACAACGTTTTCCTTAGACTTTTAGATAGCATTCTGAATACCACCAAAAGAAAGAAGTAATATAATCAATGTATACAACAGTATTCTAGGTACATGTGTTACGTTTCTCCACAACACCAGATGTCAAATTTGAGTATGTAACTACATACATATTTGTACTAACATAATTAATCTTTGTTTTGGTGATAAAAAAAAAATAAAAAATACATTCACACATAAGTTGTCTATGTTTTGTTTACTATACCCAGCCCGCCTTATATTAAGGAGATGGAACCTTTCACGTCTGCTGCTAGTCCCGGGAGGAGGTATTTTTTCGGTGGACAGGGACTTCCGGCAAGTCACCATCCAGCCACAAGCCAGCGAAAGTGTTTTTCTTTTTCTACTTTTAACCCTCTTGGCCAATCATCTTTTTGATCTGGTTATTTTTAAAACGACGTGAAGTTATATCCGGATTTTATTCCCTCCCCATTTAGAAGCTTTCGTTTTGTGGATTTCTTTTGCAGTTATTTTTGAAGTGGCTAGTCTCTGTAGCTAACGGGGCTAGCTCCACCACTGACACCGAAACTGAGCGACTATTTTGGGCACACTTCCACTTGTAAACCTCCCGGTTCTTTGCCTTTGGACGACGCTGTTGCCGCCGTTTCGGATAAACCACGTGTGTTCCTTTTCCTATGCTGGGTTTGGTGCTCGCCCTGATGTTTTAATGGGAGGCGGGTCGCTGCGGGGTGGACATTGCAGGAGTAGTTTGAGAAGAGAAGGGAAGCCGCGGCTCGGATGGAGTCTCTGGCTGGTTACGTGTACAAGGCAGCCAGCGAGGGTAGAGTGCTGACCCTGGCCGCCCTGCTGCTCAATCACTCGGAGGCAGAGACTCGGTACCTGCTCGGGTATGTGACCCAGCTGTCCGGGCAGAGGTCCACCCCACTGATCATCGCTGCCAGAAACGGACACGAGAAGGTGGTTCGTCTGCTGCTGGACCACTACCGCGTGGCCACCGAGCAGACCGGGACCGTGCGCTTCGATGGGTCAGTTTTTATTATTATCCATTATTATGATTACGAGGTGTTTTAGACAAAAGCACCAAGTTTCGTAAGCTATGCAAGACTTTATTGCCCCTGTTGGGAAAGTTGTCCTCTGTATTTGACTCATTCTGTAATGCCTGTAGGTCAGAGGGCAGGAACCTGTGGCTCTCCGTCTGGATCTCAAACAAATCTTTGTATCACTTTACTGAAGAATTCCAATACATGTGATCGAGTGACCACTTATTTTATTTTACAAGTTAGAAGTGATTTAACTTGTCAATTAAAGAAAGGTGGTCAGTTTTTCTCCTGTAGAGATGTGCTTCTGCAGTGCAGTCTGATCTCCACAGGAGACAACTTCAATATTCTCACAATGATGACTTGGATTTGTCTCCGGGACTAATATTACACACTACAGGTTTTCGATCGAAGAGTGAGAGAAATGGTCTGATTTTCAATGCGTCAAAGACCAAGGAGATGATCATTGACTTTCACAGGAGCCCTTCCCTAAACGGACAGGACATTTAAGTGGTACGGTTTTGGCTGACTGGTCAGCTCAGGCCAATGATGTCTATAAAAAAGGTTAAAGCACACTCTTCTTCCTGAGAAGACTTGATGTGAGCAGTCAGATGTTGCACATATTTTACCAGTCTGTTGTAGCTAGTGCGTGTTCTTTGGGGTTGCGTGTTGGTGGCAGTTTGACCTTGAGAGACAGTAACCAATTCAACAGGCTGATCAGAAAGTGTCTCTGTGATGGGGAGAAGTGTGGACTCTGTGGGAGCTGTCCTGAAGAAGGGATGAGGGCTCTAATGCAGGGCATCCTGGGACATTCTCTGCATGACATTAAGTCCACTCAGAGGGAATCAATAAAGTATCTTATCTATCTAATCGGGGCAACAGGCTTATATCACTGCGCTGCCGAGCGGAATGCGTCAAGAGATCTTTAGTTTCTTCGGCTGTCAGACTGCACAGCAAACCTGTATGAGTCTTCTGCTACTGGACACCTGAATTTCTCCTACAGAAATCAATAAAGTATCATGCTTGTTTTAGAAAAGCAACAACACGCAGCCATCAGCGCTGAGCCCAGAAGTTGTGGTTGGATTTGTTCACTAAGTGTTACTTTGACAGAACACAAACTCCATGGAAACAATTTTCAGAGAGATGGAAACATATTGATCTGATTGATCCCCAAAGGAACATATCCATTGAAGTGACTACTCAAAACAAACCCTAAATGTTTAATTCGTCACAAAACGCATTATTAATCTTGTAATTCAAAGAGCAGACATTTTGAACCAAATCTAGATGGTTTTGGGGCTGGACCACAGAGTGAAGGGGGCCAACAAGTGCTAAGCATCTGTGGGAACTCAGACCATCTCAGATCCTCTTGAAGCTCAAGAGAATGCCAAGAGTGTGAGGCAGTAATCAGAGCAAAAGGTGCTACTTTGAAGAACCTAGAATATAACACATTTATTCAGTAGCTTTTTTGTATCTACATAATTCCACATGAGTGAATTCATAGTTTTGATGCCTTCAGTGGGAATCTACAATTTTCATAATCATGAAAATAAAAAACTCTTAGAAAGTCAAGGTGTCCAAACTTTTGGTCGGTACTGTATGTATGATATATATATATATATATATATATATATCAAAGTACTTTGTCTTTGACAACTCACCTTCTAGTTGTATGTTTCCTCTTGAGCTGTTTGGACCTGAGCCTGTGTCTCACTGAGTTGCTCTGTGCTTCTCTGTGTGTGCAGGTATGTGATAGACGGAGCCACTGCTCTGTGGTGTGCTGCTGGAGCTGGACACCTGGAGGTGGTGCGGCTGCTGGTGGAGCATGATGCTAACGTGAACCACACGACGGTCACCAACTCAACGCCGCTGCGCGCCGCATGCTTTGACGGGCGCCTGGACATTGTGCGCTTCTTGGTGGAGCACGCGGCCGACATCAGCATCACCAACAAGTACAACAACACGTGTCTGATGATCGCCGCCTACAAAGGCCACGCTGACGTGGTGCGCTTCCTGCTGCAGCGCGGCGCTCAGCCCAACGCCACGGCGCACTGCGGAGCCACCGCACTGCACTTTGCTGCAGAGGCGGGGCATCTGGACATTGTGAAGGAGCTGGTGACGCAGCAGGCCGCCATCGTGGAGAACGGCCACGGCATGACTCCCCTGAAGGTGGCAGCAGAGAGCTGTAAGGCGGAGGTGGTGGAGCTGCTGCTTGAGCATGCAGACTGTGACCCTCACAGCAGGATCCAGGCCTTAGAGCTTCTCGGAGCCTCCTTTGCTAATGACCGAGAGAACTACGACATCCATAAGACCTACCACTACCTGCACGCCGCCATGAGCCAGCGCCACAGAGACCATGTCCTCAAGCAGAGCCTGCCCCCGGTGGAGGCCTACGGCAGGCGCAGGGAGTGTGAGACTCTGGAGGAGCTGGAGAACATCCGCACAGACCGAGACGCGCTGCACATGGAGGGCCTGATGATCCGTGAGCGTGTGCTGGGCTCCGACAACATGGACGTGTCTCACCCCATCATCTACAGAGGCGCCGTGTACGCCGACAGCATGGAGTTCGAGCGCTGCATCCAGCTGTGGCTGCATGCGCTGCAGCTGCGCCAGCGCGGCCACAGAAACACTCACAAGGACCTGTTGCGCTTCGCCCAGGTCTTCTCTCAGATGGTGCATCTGCGTGTCTCTCTGAGCGCTGCCGCCGTGGAGCAGGTGATGAGCTGCGCGCTGCTGGAGATACAGCGCAGCGTGAGCCGCCTGGAGGTGGCGCCAGAAGCGGAGCTGCCGCAGGCGCAGGACAATTATGAGTCTAACATCTTCACCTTCTTGTATCTGTCCTGTATCTCCACCAAATGCAGCTGCAGCGAGCCGCAGCGCGCCCGCATGAACAAACACATCTACGACCTGATCCAGCTCGACCCACGCTCTCGTGACGGATCCACGCTGCTGCACCTCGCCATCAGCTCGTCCACTCCGGTCGACGACTTCCACACCAACGACGTGTGCAGCTTCCCCAACGCGCAGGTCACCAAGCTGCTGCTGGACTGCGGCGCTGCAGTGAACGCCGTGGACCACGAGGGCAACACGCCGTTGCACGTCATTGTCCAGTACAACAGACCAATCAGCGACTTCCTGACGCTGCACGCCATCATCATCAGCCTGGTAGAGGCGGGCGCTCACACAGACATGGCCAACAAGCAGAAGAAGACGCCACTGGACAAGAGCACGACCGGAGTGTCGGAGATCCTCCTAAAGACGCAGATCAAGATGAGCCTCAAGTGTCTGGCGGCGCGCGCCGTTCGGCTGCACCACATCACGTACCGCAACCAGATCCCCAAGACGCTCGAGGAGTTCGTGGAGTTCCACTGAAGAAGACTTTAATTTTTATAAACAGTGAGAAGAGATTTAAGTATTCAACATTTTAAACTTTTATAAAAGAGAAAATAATCTTTTTATGCCCAGTGTTTTTGCTGTTGTTTTGCCTTCAGTTCTGACCGTGCCTCATCACTGTTCACCAGGTTTTACTTTAACTGTTTTTATTTGAACTGTTTCTCTGATTGTGACGCCTGATTTTTACTGATGCAGTTGAAAAGGTAAAAATGTCAAAGTTACGGCCGCTATAGAATTTATAGTTAATTTATTTTTATGATATAATCGCCTTGTGTTTGTAATGAACTTTGCACTCTTTCTGTAAACCATGTGATCTGAACAGGCCAATCACAGGACAGGACACTAAACAATAATGGAGCTGCTCTGACATCACTAATGTGAACGCTGCCTCAAGTGTATTAAAATACAGCTGCAGAAGAAGAACTCTTGAGTACGACTGTTTCTTACTTTGTTTTTTTCTTATGGTTTTAGAAACTGATGACAGTGGGTTCATCCATGAAAGTTTATTTGTATGGCACAGTTCATACACAAGAACAGCCTCTCCAGACCAGAGCAGAGAGCATTCATGGTCCTAATCAAGCAGAAATCCACTGGACAAATGCATTTTTTTCTTGGGAACAGAGTAATAAAAATGGTCCAAACCAAGCAGCTACTCCGCCTAAAGTGCTACTATTGTTAGCTATTTTTAGAATGATGTATTTATTTGTTTGGATGGATGTCTTTCTCCTACAGGGATCAATAAAGTATCTACTGTATGAAGCAAAAGATAATGGAGGGCACCTTTCAGGCCATGAAGATTTGGGATTTGATTGGTTTTGGAAATTCAAAGGTCATTAGTATCACACCGAGCCCCAAAGACCTGATCCCGTCAGTATTGAGTCTTCATTGTTCATAGATTTCTGACCTAAAGTAAAAGTAAAAAGAATCCAAGGACTCTGACCTCATGTTTGAACATCATTATCTCAATAAAAGGTTCTGTAACTTTGGATTCTGTCAGAAAAACTGAGAAAACTAAAACTGAAATGAAACGTTTTGGACGATTGTGTTGTGTTTACCATGTGTAATATTTTCAGTCTTAATACTTATCCCGCAGGGTGTGATTGTGATGCATTTGTGATTATTTGGCCGCCTTCTTTAGGTCTTTAGGTCTTACATTTGTTGTTTGTAAAAGCGTTGAGAGGTGAGGGATCAGAGCCATCTGTGATGACATCAGTCCCACTGAGCGCGAGCAGATACAAACTGAAACATTCATAATCAGTACAAAATGACTCCTCCAAGGCCAGAACTACAGAGCCTCAGCTTCACCAAGACTCGAGTCCTCTGTGTGTTCTTCACAGACGTCAGTTTGAAGCAGAGTTTTGAGGCGTTTTAGTGAAAAGTGGAGTCAGAGGTTTAATGGTTGTTTGTAGTTTAGTTTAATGTTAATGATCTGAGAATGAGAATCTTTAGTCTGACGTCACATCAATATTCTTGTTTGTCCTAGAGTCGTTCTCTCAGACTGAAGTCGAATGGATTTGTCACCTGCTGAAGCTGAAGGCAATGTTTCTTTTATGAGGAAATCATTTTTTTTTTCATCTTTTGTTATTTTTATGAAACTTTAAATTATTTTTGAGCCTCAAACTAAAGCTGCACAGAGATCAGAGACTTCAGGAGAAGAAGAGAGGAACCATAAAGTCATTATAATGCTGAGTAAAGTTATTTAGACCAAACCTTTTTGACCTTTCTCTGCTGTGAAAACACTGTGGAGGGAGTCATAAACATTATTCGCAAAACTATTTGGTGTGGAGAAAGACATCTTAATCTGAACATGTGTGAGGTGTCCTGAACCCTGAGGCCAAAGAACCAGATTACAAATTATTCTACTTATTTCCGTCACAGCTGAATATTTAGTCTCACATTGATTATTTTTTTAATGGATTTATTTTCTGCAGCATTTTTCTGGACTCTTAAAATCTCTTCATTATTATTCACTCCATGCACGTGCAATGTGGGAGAAATGTCTTGCCTAAGGACACAACTACAGTTTGGTTCTTTACAGCTGCCTCACTGTAGAAAGCGGTGTTCACAGAGGTCTCCCATCACAGTACTAATCAGGCCCTGCCCTGCTTAGTTTCAAGAGGTCTGGCAGGATCTGACTTTCACCTACAGAGTTGCTCAGGACCAGAACAGGAAGCCAGATCAAAACATTACATGTTTCTTTCATGTTTTATTTGTACAAATATAAAAGTTCATCCATCGTCTCACATTATTCTCTTCTTGTGGATTTACAAAAGTTCAAGTTTATACAAAACAAAAGTGCATCAGATACAAATCCTGTACAGTTTCAAATCATAATATAATATTTACAGCGTTTCAGGTCGTGCTCGCTTCACCCACACTCCTCCAGACACCAATGCAGTTTATCAGACTAAAGAGAAACGGAGTCAAATCTCCAGGTTTCTATTGCAACACATGGGACTCTTTAACGGTAACGTTAGATGTGATGGAGCACTCCCACCAGCAGAGGGCAGTGCTGTCGCACATGTGTTTCACATTGTAAATTTGTTGTTGAATCAAATGAAATTTTGATTCTATAAAAACCACATCCTTTATTTTGATTCAGAGTTTGACCCAAAACATAATTATGTATTATAAATCCTTAGACCCAGTTTTGGTTTAGTCCAAACAAAAAGGAAATTAAGTTGTGTTCAGAAGAGAATCTCCAAACTCTGGAAACATCAAAGTCAGTCTTTTGTCTAAAAACCTTCATCCTTTAAACATGAAAAGATTCAAACTCTTTTATCCAAACAACTGTCACCATCACCTCTTCATCCCTTCATCACTATCACCTCTTCATCACTATCACCTCCCTCATCACTTCATTCCTTCATCACCTCTTCATCACTTCATTCCTTCATCACCTCTTCATCACTTCATCCCTTCATCACTATCACCTCTTCATCACTATCACCTCCCTCATCACTTCATTCCTTCATCACCTCTTCATCACTTCATTCCTTCATCACCTCTTCATCACTTCATTCCTTCATCACCTCTTCATCACTTCATTCCTTCATCACCTCTTCATCACTTCATTCCTTCATCACCTCTTCATCACTTCATAGATCTCCTTTAGTCTCTCTGAAATGACAGGAACCCATAACCCCTGTATAAACGGCTCCTGTGATTGGCTGGCTTAATGAGGGGCGGGGCATATCCCTGAGTGACAGGTGGCTCTATATAAAGTGACACACAGTGGTCCTGGAGGTCAGAGGTCAGGCCTGTTCCATGTCACAGCCCCTCTGGGGACTTCTCACTGGACCCTGGCTCCTCCTCCTTGCGCCTCCGTCTGTTAAAGAAGCCCAGCTGGAAAAGAAGACATTTTGAAGTTACTAAGAGAAAAACACAAGCAGTTTCTTCCACTTTATCCAGGCTGAGTTGCAGAGGCAGCATTCTGAGTGTTGTTACTTGTAGTCTGTGCCATAGACTGTATAGTGAACTGACCGAGTAAGTAAGTAAGTAAGTAATCTTTTATTTATATACCGCCTTTTCACTGCAGATCTGAGTCTCAAAGCGGTTTACAATTGTTAATTTTTTTGGGCATTTGTCTCTCACTCCACACAGAGATGGGAGCGGGGCCAGTACAGGAAGCGCATGCTAGAACTATTGGACATATTTTTAGTGGTAGGGGAAACCGGAGTACCCGGAGGAAACCAAACCTACGCAGACACGGGGAGAACATGCAAACTCCACTCAGAAAGGCCCTGGTCCGACCGGGATTCGAACCCAGGACCTTCTTGCTGAGAGGCGAGAGTGCTATCCACTCAGCCACCGTGCCGCCGAGTGTGACATCACCCCCATGTTATTAGCCTTAATACAGAATGGGTTGATTTAAACATGAACTGGAGCTTATTTCCTTATGGCGTGTTGCTAAGGAAAGCTGGACTTTAAAGTATTTATAAGGACAATATCACCATAAAAACAGCAGGATCACAGAGACCATAAACCACAGATGTTTGCCGAAAATGGTGATTGTTACGGTCACTGAGTTACATTTTATATAGAAGTCTATAGGAGCCAAACTTCATCCATGAGCACTTTTTCTGTTGTGTGTTGAGTACCTTCCACAGAGCCAGCACCAGCAGAGCCAGCAGCAGCAGACCCCCCACAGAGCTGCTCAGGATGATCCACACAGAGACCACCGGCTCCTCCTCCCTCCTCAGCTCCAGCACAATCTGAACAGAGGTCAGAGCCACAGTGTCCTCAGGTCCCATCATCATAGTGTAGGATCTACTTTATACTTTCTACTTTAGACTTTAGACCATTAGACATTTCTGTTAAGTGTCTTATAATATACAGTAATGTATAATAACAATATGGATTGTTGTGGATGGTGACTTTTAAGTTTAGACGTGGGACAAACACAGGATATTCTATTCAAGGATCAGGTCGACCTCAGTGGTGTCGAGACCGGGTCAGATCTGTGGGTTTGGGATCTCTGCCTCAGTCTCTTCTTTTTGACACTGGACTAAAGTCTGTTTGTGTCTGTAGGCTGCAGTCTTCACCAGCAGGTGGCAGCAGACACTCAGTGTTCCTCAGACAGAAACACATATTAAACTCCCCTTTCATCAATAAAGTGTATTTTGAGAAGAGTCTGAGAAAACAAACTCTTTCCAACACCATCCACACAACTATTATTACAACCGTTTGTGATTATTGGACTGAGTTCAATCAGCTGCTATAGTTTTATACTTTTACACTTATGAAAACTGTTGATCAAGTGTTTTGGATGGTTCTTAAGTCTTTGACATAAAGCAGAATGTTTCAAACATGAATAAATACAAATATAGGAACAGGCTGTTTCAGTTGTTCAAAGTAAGAACAAATGAAGGACAAGAGGAGGGCATGCATTTTCTTCTGCTTTATCCATTGCCGGGTGGTGGGGGCAGCAGTCTAAGTTTAAATAACTTTAGAAGTGCAGATGTTTCCTCCAGAAACAGATCCTGCAGTACACTTTTGTAAGCCTCTGCTCAGTCAGCTCCAATTATAAAAAAGAAATCTACAAATCTGACTCAGAAACGTCTGGTTTTATCTTTAAGCAGCGAACGACGGATCAGAACCTGTCGCAGCGGCCGCTCCTCCTGCAGGAACAGGGAGCTGCTCGACTCCAGCTCGATCCAGGACGAAGTCAAGATCTTCAGGGACTTGAAGCCGATCTGAGCGAGAGACAGAGAGGCAGAGAGACAAAAAGACGGGAGACAGAGAGACGGGAGAGGGGAGATAGAGAGACAGGAGACAGAGGGGAAAGGACATTATAATTTGTTTTTGTTTTTTTATTCATGTGGAGGAAAACTCGTGTGCTAGGACTGTGTCTGGATTTTAAACAACCATCAAACTCCTGGAAATGTGAATTATCAAAATAAACATATATCTAAACACGTGATACAGGGATCTCTGACTACAGATGCTGCTCTCTCTAGTGGCAGCAAAGGGAGTTACAGACACACAGTATTTTTCACGCTTCATACTTGTTTCTCTATATATTTTCAACTGAAGATATAATTTTATCATTTTAAACATGAGGCATATTTCGGCTTTGATCTTGAAAGCTCTTCTACCCATATGAGAGAGAGACCAGAGAGACCTGAGAGAGACCAGGGAGAAAGACCAGAAAGACCAGAGAGAGACCAGAAAGAGAGACCAGAGAGACAGACTAGAAAGACTAGAGAGAGACCAGAGAGAGACCAGAGAGACAGACCAGAAAGACCAGAGAGAGACCAGAAAGAAAGACCAGAAAGACCAGAGAGACCAGAGAGAGACCAGAGAGACAGACCAGAAAGACCAGAGAGAGACCAGAAAGACAGACCAGAAAGACCAGAGAGAGACCAGGGAGAAAGACCCGAGAGAGACCAGAAAGAGAGACCAGAGAGACAGACCAGAAAGACCAGAGAGAGACCAGAGAGAGACCAGAGAGACAGACCAGAAAGACCAGAGAGAGACCAGAGAGAGACCAGAGAGACAGACCAGAAAGACCAGAGAGAGACCAGAAAGAGAGACCAGAGAGACAGACCAGAAAGACCAGAGAGAGACCAGAAAGAGAGACCAGAGAGACTGACTAGAAAGACTAGAGAGAGACCAGAGAGAGACCAGAGAGAGACCAGAGAGAGACCAGAGAGACAGACCAGAAAGACCAGAGAGAGACCAGAAAGAAAGACCAGAAAGACCAGAGAGACAGACCAGAAAGACCAGAGAGAGACCAGAAAGACAGACCAGAAAGACCAGAGAGAGACCAGAAAGAGAGACCAGAGAGACAGACCAGAAAGACCAGAGAGAGACCAGAGAGACAGACCAGAAAGACCAGAGAGAGACCAGAGAGACAGACCAGAAAGACCAGAGAGAGACCAGGGAGAAAGACCAGAAAGACCAGAGAGAGACCAGAAAGAGGGACCAGAGAGACAGACCAGAAAGACCAGAGAGAGACCAGAGAGAGATCAGAGAGAGAATTCAGGGAGAAAGACCAGGGAGAGACCTCGTACCTTGGACAGAGTGGTAGAGTTGAGTCTTCCTGTGATCGTGACCTGGACCTGTTTGGACACTGGCGCTGAGACCCTGCACTGGACCCTCAGACTCTCGCTGTTGCTGCCGTTCTGAACAAACACATTTAAAACTCTCTGGTTTCTGTTCCATCTCCCACAGTGACCATCGACCTCCTCACCAGCTGTGACAGTCTGGACAGATCCTCTTCTTTGATGTGATTGTTGAGTGTGATCTGAGGCAGCAAGCACGACCCGGACGTCTGGACCAAGACACAGAAGCACATTAAAGCTGAGGCACGTAAGTTTCAAATAAGGCCGCACATCCCAGTGGCCTGAACTAGCGTGCGAGATTCAGCAAAGGTGCACTATACGAAAATATCAAAAAAAATCTGCAGAGCTATGAAGATCCCAAGTGTGTTTCAGTTACAGACCACAATAGCCTTAGGTCTTGCTGTAAATAAAACCCACTCGGGAGCTATGTAACTTTCAAACCACAAATAATGGAACTCTGTCATAAACCCATGTCTCTGGTTCCTCTTCTTCAGTTCTATCACTGGTTCCTCACACATTGGTTTTTGGTCTCTGTCACATCTTTAGATCATCTGGTCTCTCTCTGGTCTCTGCTCTTTCTGCTCTCTCTCTCTGCTCTCTCTCTCTCTCTGGTCTCTCTCTGGTCTCTTTCTGGTCTCTCTCTGGTCTCTCTCTGGTCTCTCTCTCTGGTCTCTCTGGTCTCTCTCTCTGGTCTCTCTCTGGTCTCTCTCTCTGGTCTCTCTCTCTGGTCTCTCTCTGGTCTCTCTCTCTGGTCTCTCTCTGGTCTCTCTCTGGTCTCTCTCTCTGGTCTCTCTCTCTGGTCTCTCTCTCTGGTCTCTCTCTTCTTTCTCTCTGGTCTCTCTCTGATCTCTGTTTCTCTCTGGTCTCTCTCTCTGGTCTCTCTGGTCTCTCTCTCTGGTCTCTCTCTGGTCTCTCTCTCTGGTCTCTCTCTCTGGTCTCTCTCTGGTCTCTCTCTGGTCTCTCTCTCTGGTCTCTCTCTCTGGTCTCTCTCTCTGGTCTCTCTCTGGTCTCTCTCTTCTTTCTCTCTGGTCTCTCTCTGATCTCTGTTTCTCTCTGGTCTCTCTCTCTGGTCTCTCTCTGGTCTCTCTCTCTGGTCTCTCTCTCTGGTCTCTCTCTGGTCTCTCTCTGGTCTCTCTCTCTCTGGTCTCTCTCTCTGGTCTCTCTCTCTGGTCTCTCTCTGGTCTCTCTCTTCTTTCTCTCTGGTCTCTCTCTGATCTCTGTTTCTCTCTGGTCTCTCTCTCTGGTCTCTCTCTGGTCTCTCTCTCTGGTCTCTCTCTCTGGTCTCTCTCTGGTCTCTCTCTGGTCTCTCTCTCTGGTCTCTCTCTCTGGTCTCTCTCTCTGGTCTCTCTCTGGTCTCTCTCTTCTTTCTCTCTGGTCTCTCTCTGATCTCTGTTTCTCTCTGGTCTCTTTCTCTGCTCTCTCTCTGCTCTCTCTCTGCTCTCTGTCTCTGGTGAGACCCAGAAGTTTCTTTCTAGGCTGGTATCTGTTGTATGTCTGGTACCTGGTGTATACTGTAGTCTGTGATGTGGACGATCTGGTTCCTCTGAGGCGTCACAGACCAGATCTCTGCCCCGAACAGAAGATCCTCCACCGGGACCAGACCTAGGTTCTGCACCTGGTACACAACAGAGGAGTGATGCTGACCAAGAGTCCAGCTGGACCATGGGACACAAATACTGTATAATAATTATAAGCATGAAGTGAATGCAAGAAATGTTAGGCTTCTTTTAGACATTCAAATAATCACAAGACTGACTTTATAAAACTGTAAGGCCATAACTTTTGTTTTAAGGACAAAAATGCTCTGAGTGTGATGTCATAGAGGTTCCTCTCTCGTCTCTCTCTGGTCTATCTCACTGGTCTCTCTCTGGTCTCTCTCTGGTCTCTCTCTGGTCTCTCCCTCTGTTTGTCTCTGGTCTCTCTCTGGTCTCTCTCTGGTCTCTCTCTGGTCTCTCTCTGGTCTCTCTCTGGTCTCCCTCTGGTCTCCCTCTGGTCTCCCTCTGTTCCTCTCTGAACTTTCTCTCTGGTCTATCTCTAGTTTCTCTCTGGTCTTTCTCACTGGACTCTCTCTGGTCTCTCTCTGGTCTCTCTCTGGACTCCCTCTGGACTCTCTCTGGTCTCTCTCTGGTCTCTCTCTGGTCTCTCTCTGGCCTCTCTCTGGCCTCTCTCTGGTCTCTCTCTGGACTCTATCTGGTCTCTCTCTGGTCTCTATCTGGACTCCCGCTGGACTCTCTCAGGTCTGATTCTTACATAATACGTGAGGTTAAAGTTGTGGTCAGTTCTGTTCAAAGATGACGATGTTTTGATGTCGAACCGTGGAGGATTAGTGTCTCTGCGTGACGACATACAGCGTTAGTGAATGCATTCATTAGAAGGATATATATATACATATTTACGTATACATAAATACAAATGTGATGGACCTGGTGAAGAGCAGTTCTGTCTGGTATCTCAGAGGAAGGTCCAAGTCGTTGATGTTGTCGTCTGGAAATTCCTCGTCTCCATCACTAAACATTAAACATTCTTTAAAGAGCGACTAAACACCAAATCAACTTTTTTCAACTCATAAACTGCATAAGTATGTTTATTGTAGTGCTTTCTACATATCCTGGTCATTTTTTTGACATTTTAGTTCAAATTAGATAAAATATCACTTTTGAGCCAAAAAACGTCTGTGTGGCGCCCTCTCAACCTTTTTGGTGGTACTACATTTGAATTTGGTTCTGGCCTCTCCATTGACTCTGAAGTTACATGAGTGATTCTGAGAGTATTGAGTGTGATTAGGTTCAGGTGTGTAGCTTTACAATTATCTTAGTGTGTAAACAAGGGTGGAATGAGACGTTCTGGTCTGTAAACTATTGCTTTAAACAGTTGCAATGACAACTGTCCGTTTTTTTTAGTGAGACAAGTGAGCTGTCAATCACAGCCCAGACCACGCCCAACTCTAAGCCCCCCTTCTTGTCCCTTGGTCCTCCAGGCAACGCCCTTTTAAAAGAAACTTTTCAAATGTTCATGTGGGCGGAGTAAGGCTGTGCACAGGTGTTTAGTCGCTCTTTAAAACTCAGAAAAACCATGACATCATAACGACATCACAATGACATCATCATGACATCACCATAACATCGTCACTACATGGGTTTAAAACGGTCAGTGCTTCACCTTGTGGTCGTCATGACGATTCGGATGTGGTCCATGAACACAGAGCGATTCAGCTCGAACTCTACAGTGAACGAGACCTGGACACAAACATGTTTCAATGTCGTTCTATCGATTTTTGTTGTTGTCTGTTTTCATTTATAATCACTATAGAAACAGTTCAATCCTGTTTACCTCTAATAAAGAAAGGCCTATTTTAGACTTTTTGACAGGGAGAACATGCAAACGCCACTCAGAAAGACCCTGTTTTGTGGCTGAGAAGCAAGAAGGCTAACCACTCAGCCACTCTGTATTTTCCCAGGTTATGTGGGAATGAGACTTTAGTTTCTTAGGTATACATCAGAGAGTCAAACAGTTCAACACATGAAACATATAGGTGAACCAGGACAGAGGCTGTAGATCCAGAACTGAGGCTGTAGATCCAGGACTGAGGCTGTAGATCCAGGACTGAGGCTGTAGATCCAGGACTGAGGCTGTAGATCCAGGACTGAGGCTGTAGATCCAGGACTTAGGCTGTAGATCCAGGACTTAGGCTGTAGATCCAGGACTGAGGCTGTAGATCCAGGACTGAGGCTGCAGATCCAGGACTGAGGCTGTAGATCCAGGACTTAGGCTGTAGATCCAGGACTTAGGCTGTAGATCCAGGACTGAGGCTGTAGATCCAGGACTGAGGCTGTAGATCCAGGACTGAGGCTGCAGATCCAGGACTGAGGCTGTAGATCCAGGACTTAGGCTGTAGATCCAGGACTTAGGCTGTAGATCCAGGACTGAGGCTGTAGATCCAGGACTGAGGCTGTGGACCCAGGACTGAGGCTGTAGACCCAGGACTGAGGCTGTAGATCCAGGACTGAGGCTGCAGATCCAGGACTGAGGCTGTAGACCCAGGACTGAGGCTGTAGATCCAGGACTTAGGCTGTAGATCCAGGACTTAGGCTGTAGATCCAGGACTGAGACTGTAGACCCAGGACTGAGGCTGTAGACCCAGGTCTGAGGCTGTAGACCGCTCATACCTGAGACTGTGACTTCATGAAGGGAGCGCTGATGTTACAACTCCTTGTGGGTCTGTCCTCGGAGGAGCACTCGATCTGGACGTCTGCCTGATCCTGAAGAGGAGCAGATAAAGACAAATCATTAGTCCTGGTCTCAGGTCTCTGTCCTGAAGTCCTCCCACACTAGTCCTGGTTCAGGTCTCTGCTTCCTGTGGTTCAGAGAATAGACTTTAAAGCAGCTCTGCATGTGTACAAGTCTCTCCATGGCCTCGCACTTGTTAGTGTCATATGAACCAACTCGGACTCAGGAGCACAGGGACTGGCCTCCTGCTGGGACTCTGAGGAGCACAGGGACTGGCCTCCTGCTGGGACTCTGAGGAGCACAGGGACTGGCCTCCTGCTGGGACTGTGAGGAGCACAGGGACTGGCCTCCTGCTGGGACTCTGAGGAGCACAGGGACTGGCCTCCTGCTGGGACTCTGAGGAGCACAGGGACTGGCCTCCTGCTGGGACTCTGAGGAACACATACCTTGACCATGAGGCTGTTGAAGAGCAGGTTTGGTGAGTGGCGGATGTGCACCATGGCTCCGTAAGCGTTCTCTCCCTGGTTCTCCACTCGGGCCGTGACCACCACCTTCCTGCGGCTGGACCCCATCACGTACTGCTGCTGTGACGCCTCCTTGTGGAGACACACGGACCACTGCGCGCCCTCTGCGGAGCTGCAGAACTCTCTGAGGGGAAAACAACACAGTGTCAAACTGAAGCACCCTAAAACCATCAAATACATGTAATAAAAATACTAATAATCACATTAACATACAAAAACAAGTAAATGGAGTAAAGACTGTGTTGGTTATATGGTCAATACTGTGGTACATCAGTTTATACTAGTATTGCTCTTTTAAGTATGTTATTATTGTCATTGTTATAAATATTATTCTGATTCAGTAGAAGTTGAGACTGACTGGATCGTGGGCAGGTCCGTGCGACTCGTCAGAACCAGGTTTGGGACACAGCTGTCCTCCTGCTCACAGCCGTTCCAGAAGGGAAGCTACAAACACAAGGGCAGGGTTTTTACTGTGTGTGTGTGTGTGTGTGTGTGTGTGTGTGTGTGTGTGTGTGTGTCTCTCTCTCTCTCTACAAACCAGAAAATGACCAGTGAGAGACTAGAGTGGGACCAGAGTGAAACCAGAGAGAAAAAGAGACATGGGTTTAATTACATAAATATTTGAGTTGTGTTTGAATTGTTTGTATTGTGACAATCCCTAAACCTTTACTGGGAGTAACCTTGGTTGTCTCCTACCTCGGCCCTCAGAGTGGTGGGAGAGTCCGGATCCAAAATGGCACCTTCTTCTTTGTTTCTGAGTCCAGTCTCCAGCACCACAGCGATGGGGCGTCCGTAATCTGCTGTTTCCTGCTCAATCACACACATGTATTGTTTATAGACTTAACAGATCCACCTGAACAGTTCTTATTGGCTCTCACCTGCACAAAGAAGCCCAGTCTCTGGCAGCGCTGCCCCCCAGTGGTCAAAGTTAAGTTCCGTGGCTGATTTCGATACGATTCGTCCAGAACGGCTCTAGGCGGAAACCTCTTCTCGTCCAGAACCAGAGAGTACCAGGCGGCTGCAGCAACAGGGAGGTCAGAGGTTGTGTAGTTATCATAATGTTTATAATGTAGTGTTGTTGTGTTTGCGGTTAAATGTATAATAAATGTACAATAAATATATAATAAATGTAAAGTACAATGTATACATGCATCTTGGCTCACAACCATGTGACCAGAATCAAATCTTAAACTTGATCTTGAATATTGTTGCTATAATGATGCTAACCTGCTAGCTCAACGAAGCCCAATAGAGAAGTGCTCATGGTGAAGTTTGACTCCTCTCTCTGGCTCTTTTGACTTACATGTAAAAGTAAACTCCTCTAGCTCAGTTTGGATCACACTCCTCATTTTGGGCTTAAATCTGTGATTTATGTCCTCTCTCTCTGGCCTCTCTCTCTGGCCTCTCTCTCTGGCCTCTCTCTCTGGTCTCTCTCTCTGGCCTCTCTCTCTGGTCTCTCTCTCTGGTCTCTCTCTCTGGTCTCTCTCTCTGGTCCCTCTAGTCTCTCTAGTCTCTCTCTAGTCTCTCTCTCTGGCCTCTCTATCTGGGGTCTCTGTCTCTGGTCTCTCTGCCTCTCTCTCTGGTCTCTCTCTCTGGTCTCTCTCTCTGGCCTCTCTGTGGTCTCTCTCTCTGGCCTCTCTCTCTGGTCCCTCTTGTCTCTCTAGTCTCTCTCTAGTCTCTCTCTCTCTGGCCTCTATCTGGGGTCTCTCTCTCTGGTCTCTCTGCCTCTCTCTCTCTGACCTCTCTCTCTGGTCCCTCTAGTCTCTCTCTCTAGTCTCTCTATCTGATCTCTCTCTCTGGTCTCTCTCTCTGGTCTCTCTCTCTGGTCTCTCTCTCTGGTCTCTCTCTGGTCTCTCTCTCTGGTCTCTCTCTGGTCTCTCTCTGGTCTCTCTCTGGTCTCTCTCTGGTCTCTCTCTGGTCTCTCTCTGGTCTCTCTCTGGTCTCTCTCTGGTCTCTCTCTGGCCTCTCTCTGGTCTCTCTCTCTGGTCTCTCTCTGGTCTCTCTCTCTGGTCTCTCTCTCTGGTCTCTCTCTCTGGTCTCTCTCTGGTCTCTCTCTCTCTGGTCTCTCCAGTTTCTCTCTCTGGTCTCTCTCTGGCCTCTCTCTCTCTGGTCTCTCTCTGGTCTCTCTCTGGTCTCTCTCTGGTCTCTCTCTGGTCTCTCTCTGGTCTCTCTAGTCTCTCTAGTCTCTCTAGTCTCTCTAGTCTCTCTCTCTGGCCTCTCTCTCTGGCCTCTCTCTCTGGTCTCTCTCTCTGGTCTCTCTCTCTGGCCTCTCTGTGGTCTCTCTCTCTGGCCTCTCTCTCTGGTCCCTCTTGTCTCTCTAGTCTCTCTCTAGTCTCTCTCTCTCTGGCCTCTATCTGGGGTCTCTCTCTCTGGTCTCTCTGCCTCTCTCTCTCTGACCTCTCTCTCTGGTCCCTCTAGTCTCTCTCTCTAGTCTCTCTATCTGATCTCTCTCTCTGGTCTCTCTCTCTGGTCTCTCTCTCTGGTCTCTCTCTCTGGTCTCTCTCTCTGGTCTCTCTCTGGTCTCTCTCTCTGGTCTCTCTCTGGTCTCTCTCTGGTCTCTCTCTGGTCTCTCTCTGGTCTCTCTCTGGTCTCTCTCTGGTCTCTCTCTGGGTCTCTCTCTGGTCTCTCTCTGGTCTCTCTCTGGCCTCTCTCTGGTCTCTCTCTCTGGTCTCTCTCTGGTCTCTCTCTCTGGTCTCTCTCTCTGGTCTCTCTCTCTGGTCTCTCTCTGGTCTCTCTCTCTCTGGTCTCTCCAGTTTCTCTCTCTGGTCTCTCTCTGGCCTCTCTCTCTCTGGTCTCTCTCTGGTCTCTCTCTGGTCTCTCTCTGGTCTCTCTCTGGTCTCTCTAGTCTCTCTAGTCTCTCTAGTCTCTCTAGTCTCTCTCTCTGGTCTCTCTCTCTAGTCTCTCTCTCTAGTCTCTCTCTCTAGTCTCTCTCTCTGGCCTCTCTCTCTGGCCTCTCTCTGGCCTCTCTCTAGTCTCTCTCTAGTCTCTCTCTAGTCTCTCTAGTCTCTCTCTCTCCTCTCTCTGGTCTCTCTCTAGTCTCTCTCTGGTCTCTCTCTGGTCTCTCTCTGGTCTCTCTCTGGTCTCTCTCTGGTCTCTCTCTAGTCTCTCTCTGGTCTCTCTCTCTGGTCTCTCTCTGGTCTCTCTCTAGTCTCTCTCTAGTCTCTCTCTGGTCTCTCTCTCATCTCTCTGTGGCCTCTCTCTCTGCATTATAGTGCGAGTTCTGTGGTTTGAAAGTTGGGTACCTGTGCTTTAAGACTCACCCACATCGGTGCGTGCAGGACCTCTATCTGGGGTCTCTCTCTCTGGTCTCTCTGCCTCTCTCTCTGACCTCTCTCTCTGGTCCCTCTAGTCTCTCTCTCTAGTCTCTCTATCTGGTCTCTCTCTCTGGTCTCTCTCTCTGGTCTCTCTCTCTGGTCTCTCTCTCTGGTCTCTCTCTCTGGTCTCTCTCTGGTCTCTCTCTCTGGTCTCTCTCTCTGGTCTCTCTCTCTAGTCTCTCTCTCTAGTCTCTCTCTCTGCCTCTCTCTCTGACCTCTCTCTCTGGTCCCTCTAGTCTCTCTCTCTAGTCTCTCTATCTGGTCTCTCTCTCTGGTCTCTCTCTCTGGTCTCTCTCTCTGGTCTCTCTCTCTGGTCTCTCTCTCTGGTCTCTCTCTCTGGTCTCTCTCTGGTCTCTCTCTCTGGTCTCTCTCTCTGGTCTCTCTCTCTGGTCTCTCTCTCTGGTCTCTCTCTCTGGTTTCTCTCTCTGGTCTCTCTCTCTCTGGTCTCTCCAGTTTCTCTCTCTGGTCTCTCTCTGGCCTCTCTCTCTGGTCTCTCTCTGGTCTCTCTCTGGTCTCTCTCTGGTCTATCTCTGGTCTCTCTCTGGTCTCTCTCTGGTCTCTCTCTGGTCTCTCTAGTCTCTCTAGTCTCTCTCTCTGGCCTCTCTCTCTGGCCTCTCTCTCTGGCCTCTCTCTCTGGCTTCTCTCTCTGGTCTCTCTCTCTAGTCTCTCTCTCTAGTCTCTCTCTCTAGTCTCTCTCTCTAGTCTCTCTCTCTAGTCTCTCTCTCTAGTCTCTCTCGTCTCTCTCTCTGGCCTCTCTCTCTGGCCTCTCTCTGGTCTCTCTCTAGTCACTCTCTAGTCTCTCTCTAGTCTCTCTAGTCTCTCTCTGGCTTCTCTCTCTGGTCTCTCTCTCTAGTCTCTCTCTCTAGTCTCTCTCTCTAGTCTCTCTCTCTGGCCTCTCTCTGGCCTCTCTCTGGCCTCTCTCTAGTCTCTCTCTAGTCTCTCTCTAGTCTCTCTAGTCTCTCTCTCTGGCCTCTCTCTGGTCTCTCTCTAGTCTCTCTCTAGTCTCTCTCTGGTCTCTCTCTCATCTCTCTGTGGCCTCTCTCTCTGCATTATAGTGCGAGTTCTGTGGTTTGAAAGTTGGGTACCTGTGCTTTAAGACTCACCCACATCGGTGCGTGCAGGACCATGTGTGCGTGCCTCCAGACTCAGACACACTGTGGCAGACATACAGGTGACCGCCCTTCCTCCGCGGTCACAGTCTTTATTAAACAGATTCACTTTCTCTGGTTCAAACAGGAGCCGGGCCTGGACCCTCACCACGCCGCGAGACCTGCACCGAAACCAGAAGAGTCAGAACCAGAAACATGTGAAATCTGTTTTTTTGTTGTGATCTCACCAGATGACGACCGCAGCCCCTCGAGCACCCACCGACAGATCGACCAGTCCGTCTGCGTTCAGGTCCAGGACTCCGTGAAGACTCTGCCCAAAGTACTGAAGACCGTAGTCCAGGTCCGAGGCTGCAATCCTCTGCAACACAACACAACACTTAAACCAGAGACAACACAACACAATACAGTGATCTTAAACCAGAGACCAGGGAGAGACACTAACATACATCACACAATCTTAAAACTTGACACACACACACACACACACACAGACACACCTGTTTGAACTGTGGCTGGATGGCCTGGTCCTGTCCGTGGAACACATACACTGCCCCCTGGTGGTCGTCCTCCAGCGGTGCTCCCACCACCAGCTCCCTGAAGCCGTCTGCGTTCATGTCGGGCAGATCAGACAGAGCTGAGCCGAAGCGAGAGTTCTGAGAGAGAGCAGAGGGCAACAGCACCCCCTGCAGGCTGAACGACTGCTGCAGCGCCCCCTGCTGGCTCCACCACTGCAACAAACACAGCACTGTTCATCAGACTCATTCAGGATATTAAAGAAGACATACCAGGCTTCTCACTACTCAAATGTTTAAATCTCTGGACCGCAATGATACATTCTGATCGTTTGAAAGCTTTATGTGTTGGATATGAGTCAGGACAAAACAGGTGTATACCCCGAGAATCTGGGACAGTCTTCCTGAAAATGTACAGGAGCCCGATCTGTTCTTTAAGTCCAGCCTGAAGTTTTTTTATTGAGTTATAATTCTGAAATTGAGTGTTTTTATGTTATGAATGTTTTCCGTCACATGTTTATAATGTTTGTGAATGTGTGATTGTAAAGCACTTTGGGTTGCACTGGGTATGTTGTTACTGTATGTAATAAACTGTAATAAAGTTGATTGACACACACACACACACACACACACACACAGAGACAGATATATACACAGAGACACACACACCCACACACACACACACACACACACCTGGACCCTGTAGACGTAGACCTTTCCGCGCTCCCAGCCCTGACTGTAGAACATGGGAGCAGACACCAGCAGCACATCTGTCTGACCATTATCGTCCACATCCAGCGACAGCAACACACTCCCGAAGTACGACCCAATCTGAAACAACACACACAGGTATAACACACAGATATAACGCACTTTACTTTAGCACTGCTGCTGCTACTCACATTCACACACACATGATCCTGGACTCACACACATGGTCCGCGACTCACATGGTCCTGGGCTCACACACACACACATGGTCCTGGACTCACATACATGGTCCTGGACTCACATGGTCCTGGACTCACAAACACACATGGTCCTGGACTCAAACACATACTCATGGTCCTGGACTCATACAGACACATTGTCCTGGACTCACACATACATACCCATGGTCCTGGACTCACACACGCACACACATGGTCCTGGACTCATACAGACACATTGTCCTCAACTCACACACATACACACATTGTCCTTGAGTCACACACACACACACACATACACACACACACCCACACACATTGTCCTTGACTCACACACACATACACATGGTCCCGGACTCACACAAGCACACACATGGTCCTGGACTCACACACATACACATGGTCCTGGACTCACACACATACACATGGTCCTGGACTCACGCACACACACATGGTCCTGGACTCACGCACACACACATGGTCCTGGACTCACGCACACACACATGGTCCTGGACTCACACACACATACACATGGTCCCGGACTCACACAAGCACACACATGGTCCTGGACTCACACACATACACATGGTCCTGGACTCACACACATACACATGGTCCTGGACTCACGCACACACACATGGTCCTGGACTCACGCACACACACATGGTCCGGGACTCACACACATCCACATGGTAGCTCCTCTCCTCCTGAGTAAATGTTTCCACAGATGCTTCATAGTCTCAGTGTTGTTGTTAGAACAAATGTCAGATGTATTAAGTGCAACACAATCCTCAGCGTGGGACGAGTCTCTGACGGATTTTCCAACATTTTTATTCAGAATCTGGATCAAACATTTGTTTGTCTGTTTCTTTTGCTGGTGTTTCCGCTGCTGGTGTCTGGTGTGAAAGTGAGTTGAACGTCACAAAGTGAGAGTCTGCCCTGAATCTGGTTCTAATGAAAGTCTGATCCTCGCTCCACAAATCTGGATCATCCCAGATCCATGTGGGCCATATGTTTCCACCTCAGCAGAGAAGTGGAAACATGGAACCAGGACTAAAGCAGGTCTAAAGGAAGTCTAAAGCAGGACTAAAGCAGGTCTAAAGCAGGACTAAAGCAGGTCTAAAGCAGGACTAAAGCAGGTCTAAAGCAGGTCTAAAGCAGGACTAAAGCAGGTCTAAAGCAGGTCTAAAGCAGGACAAAAGCAGGTCTTAAGCAGGTCTAAAGCAGTAATAAAGCACGACAAACAGGACTAAAGCAGGTCTAAAGCAGGTCTAAAGCAGGACCAAAGCAGGTCTAAAGCAGTAATAAAGCAGGACAAACAGGTCTAAAGCAGGAGTAGTCATGCGAGTCACAGAAGGAAGATTGTAATAACTGTATTAAACCACTAGGAGATTATTACACACTCCCTTTAAGTGAGTAGGAGAACCAGGACGCACCTTTCTTTCACATCTCAACAAACCACAAAGCAGAGTGTGTTCTTCATACATTCTGACTGATCTCTGTCTGTGTATTAACCAGCAGAGAGAGCAGGTACCTGTACCTGTTCTCCGGGCAGAGAGTGCAGGATGCTCAGGTTCCCAGAGTTCTTCAGGCTGAAGATCAGGACTTTCCCCGTGTGGTTGAAGCGCGGAGCTCCAGCGACGTAGATCTGAGCTCCAGGAGAAGACAGAGAACTCAGAGAATACCCTGCAGAGAGAGAGAGGGAAACTAGAGAGTACCCTGCAGAGAGAGAGAGGGACAGAGAGGGAATCTAGAGTACCCTGCAGACAGAGAGAGATAACCCAGAGAGTACCTACAGACAGAGAGCAGCCCAGCAGTCCACACTTTCGAGGGATGCAGACACGGTTTTGAGCTGTTTTTTTGTGAAACCAACAAAAATACCCATAAAAATACACAAGAAACATCATAAATATATCACAATATATTAATATTGTGATCTTGGTCTATGTAGTTCCCTGTTATACTGAAATTCACCATAACTCACTATAATGTGGCAGCTGCACCATGTGAGACACAATCATTTGGAGAGTGTCATCAGTGTAATGTTACATAACAGCCTTGGACATCTGCATGTTGTGTATGAAATAATAGAATGAATCCAGTTCTGGTTCATTAGAAGCTTCCTGGAGCAGAGCACCAGGTGAAGGCTCGTACCCAGGTATGCTCCATGGTTTTTGAGTTCTTCTGGAAACTCGTCCTGGTACGAGGACTTGGGAGGAACCACTTTCCCCTGTTTGGTCTCCTTCAACACGGCTCCGGTCCAGTCATAGGCCCCAACGGCCCCCAGCAGGATGCCATCCTGAGGACCAGACCAGAGGTTACAGAGGGAACAGACCGAAAGGTTACAGAGGGAACAGACCGAAAGGTTACAGAGGGAGCAAAGGGACCAGAGGGATCGGACCAGAGCAGAGGTTACAGAGGGAGCAGACCAGAGGTTACAGAGGGAGCACACCAGTGGTTACAGAGGGAGCAGACCAGAGGTTACAGAGGGAGCAGACCAGAGGTTACAGAGGGAGCAGAACAGAGGTTACAGAGGGAGCAGACCAGAGGTTACAGAGGGAGCAGAACAGAGGTTACAGAGGGAGCAGAACAGAGGTTACAGAGGGAGCAGACCAGAGGTTACAGAGGGAGCAGACCAGAGGTTACAGAGGGAGCAGACCAGAGGTTACAATGGGGGCACCCACCTCAACCCTGTGATAAAAAAAGTGTTGTTCAAATGAAACACATCATTTATCATCACATAAAACCACCAATGTAGATCTAACACATCTCTCAGGAATCTCTGCCCCTCCCTCTGCCTCTGTCTCTGCCTCTGCCTCTGTCTCTGTCTCTGCCTCTGTCTCTGCCTCTGTGTCTGTCTCTGTGTCTGCCTCTGTGTCTGCCTCTGTGTCTGTCTCTGTGTCTGTCTCTGTGTCTGCCTCTGTGTCTGTCTCTGTGTCTGCCTCTGTGTCTGCCTCTGTGTCTGTCTCTGTGTCTGCCTCTGTGTCTGTCTCTGTCTCTGTCTCTGTCTCTGCCTCTGCCTCTGCCTCTGTCTCTGCCTCTGTCTCTGTCTCTGCCTCTGTCTCTGCCTCTGTCTCTGCCTCTGCCTCTGTCTCTGCCTCTGTCTCTGCCTCTGCCTCTGCCTCTGTCTCTGTCTCTGTCTCTGTCTCTGTCTCTGCCTCTGTCTCTGCCTCTGTCTCTGCCTCTGTCTCTGTCTCTGCCTCTGCCTCTGTCTCTGCCTCTGTCTCTGCCTCTGTCTTTGTCTCTGCCTCTGTCTCTGCCTCTGCCTCTGTCTCTGCCTCTGCCTCTGTCTCTGTCTCTGTCTCTGTCTCTGCCTCTGTCTCTGCCTCTGCCTCTGTCTCTGCCTCTGTCTCTGTCTCTGCCTCTGCCTCTGCCTCTGTCTCTGCCTCTGCCTCTGTCTCTGTCTCTGCCTCTGTCTCTGCCTCTGCCTCTGCCTCTGTCTCTGTCTCTGTCTCTGTCTCTGTCTCTGCCTCTGTCTCTGCCTCTGCCTCTGTCTCTGCCTCTGTCTCTGCCTCTGTCTCTGTCTCTGCCTCTGCCTCTGTCTCTGCCTCTGTCTCTGCCTCTGTCTTTGTCTCTGCCTCTGTCTCTGCCTCTGCCTCTGTCTCTCTGCCTCTGCCTCTGTCTCTGTCTCTGTCTCTGTCTCTGCCTCTGTCTCTGCCTCTGTCTCTGTCTCTGCCTCTGCCTCTGTCTCTGCCTCTGCCTCTGTCTCTGTCTCTGTGTCTGCCTCTGTCTCTGTCTCTGCCTCTGTCTCTGCCTCTGCCTCTGCCTCTGTCTCTGTCTCTGTCTCTGTCTCTGTCTCTGCCTCTGTCTCTGCCTCTGCCTCTGTCTCTGCCTCTGCCTCTGTCTCTGTCTCTGCCTCTGCCTCTGCCTCTGCCTCTGCCTCTGCCTCTGCCTCTGCCTCTGCCTCTGCCTCTGCCTCTGTCTCTGTCTCTGCCTCTGCCTCTGTCTCTGCCTCTGCCTCTGTCTCTGCCTCTGCCTCTGTCTCTGTCTCTGTCTCTGCCTCTGTCTCTGCCTCTGCCTCTGCCTCTGTCTCTGTCTCTGCCTCTGCCTCTGCCTCTGCCTCTGCCTCTGCCTCTGCCTCTGTCTCTGCCTCTGCCTCTGCCTCTGCCTCTGCCTCTGTCTCTGCCTCTGTCTCTGTCTCTGCCTCTGCCTCTGCCTCTGCCTCTGCCTCTGTCTCTGTCTCTGCCTCTGCCTCTGCCTCTGCCTCTGCCTGCCTCTGTCTCTGCCTCTGCCTCTGCCTCTGCCTCTGTCTCTGCCTCTGCCTCTGCCTCTGCCTCTGTCTCTGTCTCTGCCTCTGCCTCTGCCTCTGCCTCTGCCTCTGCCTCTGCCTCTGCCTCTGCCTCTGTCTCTGTCTCTGCCTCTGTCTCTGTCTCTGCCTCTGCCTCTGCCTCTGCCTCTGCCTCTGCCTCTGCCTCTGTCTCTGCCTCTGCCTCTGCCTCTGCCTCTGTCTCTGCCTCTGCCTCTGCCTCTGTCTCTGTCTCTGCCTCTGCCTCTGCCTCTGTCTCTGTCTCTGCCTCTGCCTCTGCCTCTGTCTCTGCCTCTGCCTCTGCCTCTGCCTCTGTCTCTGCCTCTGCCTCTGCCTCTGTCTCTGCCTCTGTCTCTGCCTCTGCCTCTGTCTCTGCCTCTGCCTCTGCCTCTGCCTCTGCCTCTGCCTCTGTCTCTGTCTCTGCCTCTGCCTCTGCCTCTGCCTCTGCCTCTGCCTCTGTCTCTGCCTCTGCCTCTGCCTCTGCCTCTGCCTCTGTCTCTGTCTCTGCCTCTGCCTCTGCCTCTGCCTCTGTCTCTGCCTCTGTCTCTGCCTCTGCCTCTGTCTCTGTCTCTGCCTCTGTCTCTGTCTCTGCCTCTGCCTCTGCCTCTGCCTCTGCCTCTGCCTCTGTCTCTGTCTCTGCCTCTGTCTCTGCCTCTGCCTCTGTCTCTGCCTCTGCCTCTGCCTCTGCCTCTGCCTCTGCCTCTGCCTCTGTCTCTGTCTCTGCCTCTGTCTCTGCCTCTGCCTCTGCCTCTGCCTCTGCCTCTGTCTCTCTGCCTCTGCCTCTGCCTCTGCCTCTGTCTCTGCCTCTGCCTCTGCCTCTGCCTCTGCCTCTGCCTCTGCCTCTGCCTCTGCCTCTGCCTCCTCTGCCTCTGCCTCTGTCTCTGTCTCTGCCTCTGTCTCTGCCTCTGCCTCTGCCTCTGCCTCTGCCTCTGCCTCTGTCTCTGTCTCTGCCTCTGCCTCTGCCTCTGCCTCTGTCTCTGCCTCTGCCTCTGCCTCTGCCTCTGTCTCTGTCTCTGCCTCTGCCTCTGCCTCTGCCTCTGCCTCTGCCTCTGTCTCTGCCTCTGCCTCTGTCTCTGTCTCTGCCTCTGTCTCTGTCTCTGCCTCTGCCTCTGCCTCTGCCTCTGCCTCTGCCCCTGTCTCTGTCTCTGCCTCTGCCTCTGTCTCTGCCTCTGCCTCTGCCTCTGCCTCTGTCTCTGTCTCTGCCTCTGCCTCTGTCTCTGTCTCTGCCTCTGCCTCTGCCTCTGTCTCTGCCTCTGCCTCTGTCTCTGCCTCTGTCTCTGCCTCTGCCTCTGCCTCTGCCTCTGTCTCTGTCTCTGCCTCTGTCTCTGCCTCTGCCTCTGCCTCTGCCTCTGTCTCTGCCTCTGTCTCTGCCTCTGTCTCTGCCTCTGTCTCTGCCTCTGTCTCTGCCTCTGCCTCTGCCTCTGCCTCTGCCTCTGCCTCTGCCTCTGTCTCTGTCTCTGCCTCTGTCTCTGCCTCTGCCTCTGTCTCTGTCTCTGCCTCTGTCTCTGCCTCTGCCTCTGTCTCTGCCTCTGCTTCTGTCTCTGCCTCTGCCTCTGTCTATGCCTCTGTCTCTGCCTCTGTCTCTGTCTCTGCCTCTGTCTCTGCCTCTGTCTCTGTCTCTGTCTCTGTCTCTGCCTCTGCCTCTGCCTCTGTCTCTGCCTCTGCCTCTGTCTCTGCCTCTGCCTCTGTCTCTGCCTCTGCCTCTGTCTCTGCCTCTGTCTCTGCCTCTGCTTCTGTCTCTGCCTCTGCCTCTGTCTCTGCCTCTGCCTCTGTCTCTGCCTCTGTCTCTGCCTCTGCCTCTGCCTCTGTCTATGCCTCTGTCTCTGCCTCTGTCTCTGTCTCTGCCCCTCCCTCTGTCTCTGTCTCTGTCTCTGTCTCTGCCTCTGCCTCTGTCTCTGCCTCTGTCTCTGCCTCTGTCTCTGCCTCTGCCTCTGTCTCTGCCTCTGTCTCTGTCTCTGCCTCTGTCTCTGCCTCTGTCTCTGCCTCTGCCTCTGCCTCTGCCTCTGTCTCTGTCTCTGCCTCTGTCTCTGTCTCTGTCTCTGCCCCTCCCTCTGCCTCTGTCTCTGCCTCTGCCTCTGTCTCTGCCTCTGCCTCTGCCTCTGCCTCTGTCTCTGCCTCTGTCTCTGTCTCTGTCTCTGCCTCTGCCTCTGTCTTTGTCTTTGTCTTTGTCTATTTAAACCTAATGAAAGCCATTTGTTCCTATGGCGACTTATACAAACAGCATGAGTTATAACTTTAGATCAGAATGGCTGCTGATGCTCTCCCTGTATATCAGAATATTTCAGTCTGTCTCTGAGAGCATTTGGAAAACACATGTGAGAACATGGCCATGGACCAGATTCCTCTGAGGCTGATGGACTTGTTGTGACGTTGTGGTTTATAGTTTAATATTATCTTTTTAAATCCAGATATAAGCCATTACGAGTGACCAATCAGAGGCCTTCATTCACAGGAAATACTCCAGTTAGCCTTGACAACCGTCTTAGCAACACGTTTGTTTGCATTGTTCCGACTCACTCTAGAAACAAATGCGCCACTTTGTATTTTTTCATTGCATATATGTGTTTGAACTGTTTGATTCTCTGATCTGTGTTGGCAAGTCGACATCTTTGTAATGTCCTCTGAGATAACTACTGTTGTGATTTAGGGTGAGACACAAATAAGGTTAATTGAAATGTCCACAGAAGAACAATGGTCCCAAACTTAACAAGATGGTGGTCTATGCTCAATCTATAGTAGTATATATCATTTCCATTTATTTTTAATTTAAGTATTTACCGAATCCCTAAGTTCATACAGACATATGGAGCAGAAGACAACTAAAATAAAACACAAATTAAAAGAGTCGAAGAGAGAAACATAAAGGAAAGAGAAGAAAAGAGAGAAAATAATTTCCAGTTTGATTTTGTTGTTGTGACTTTACATCTGCCTGAGCCAAGAGAGGTAGAGAGAGAGGGGGGGGGGGGGGGGGGGGCTGGAGAGAGAGAAAGAGAGAGAGAGAGAAAGGTTTGTTGTGATTTGTGGATGAAGCGTTTCACAGATACTCCGTACGTGGCTCTTGCTGCTATTGCCTCATGTCGAATACCTGCTCCCAACTTTTCCACATTAATCTGATGGATTTTACACTTTCAAAACTTCAGTCCAAGAACCTCCCACCTCAGTGACGGTAGAGCCTCAGTCTGAGAGCCTGACACTGTGATAGAGTGAGAGGGAGCAGACCAGGAGAGAGAGGAGAGACAGATGGTCCGTGGTATATGTTTGGATGAGGATGACTGTGTTGTTCATAAATGCTTCAGTTTCTGTATCAGTTTGAGCAGGTGCAGAAGGCTGGAACACTGCTCTTCAGTCTCATGCATGTGAGTTCCAGTCTATGATGTGAAAACTGAGAATCCCCAGGAGAAAAAACACGTCTGATGGACTTATCTTCTTCTCTCTTTCATCGTTTGAAAATGAAGAACCACATGCAGCTCAAACAACATCCCACTGAACTAGACTATTGCAAGATACAACTGTAGAGGACATAAACAAGACAGGTGAGAAAGAGAGAGCAGAGAGAGAGAGAGCACAAAGAGTGTCCAGAGAGAGCAGAGAGAGAGACCGAAAGAGACCAGAAAGAGAACAGAGAGAGAAACCAAAGAGAGATGAGAGAGAGCAGAGAGAGATGAGAGAGAGCAGAGAGAGATGAGAGAGAGCAGAGAGAGACCGAAAGAGACCAGAAAGAGACCAAAAAGAGAGAAGCCGAGAAGTTGGCTCCTGGCTCCTCAACCATCTGCTGCCAGTTACAAAGTTTCCACGATGCCGTTTTGTTATTTCAGAAGGTTTTGACGGAGCACAGTTCTGGACTCAGAGTCACATATTTCTGCTGTGAAGACCTCAGAGAGACGGGACTAAAACTAAAATACCAAGACTCACAATTTCTGTGTGTTCAGAGTCTGAGAGATGGTTCCACTCACTTTGACAACATGAGAGGAGAATCCAGCCTGAGCCATCTGCAGACCGAACCCACGGCCCTGACTGCTGGTACCTGCCACACACCAACAAGGAATTACATCATAAATAATCACAGTACAGTAAAAGTTCCTTGTGCTCCTCAGAGTCCAGCAGTAGGCCAGTCCCTGTGCTATACTTCAATCTGGAAAAACTCCAGACAAAGCTTGCATTAGAATATTTTTGTTAACATGCATGCATAGACACCAGCAGACTTATTGTTTGAATCCTAACATATTATTTGCATTTGAACTAAAATGTTCATTAAGATTGGCGATTAGACCCTGGCAGGAATACTGCCTGATAGGGGTGCAACGGTTTGAAAAAATCACGGTTCGGTTCGTACCTCGGTTCAGAGGCCACGGTTCGGTTCATTTTTCGGTTCATTTTTCAAAAAAAGTGTTGTCTTTTTAATAAACACAGCTCATGTGGACTCGGCACCTGCTCTGACTGCCCCCCCTGACCTAGAAATGAATTAAGGGGAAGGAAATGGATGGATGGATGGATGGAATATTCCATCCATCCAATTATGTCTATTTAACATAATTAATGAAAAACAACACAAAGTGCAACATAAGAAGGCACTTTATGAGGATATTTACCCTCATGTATTAAACCACCTTCCTGATTCTCCCGAGGAGGCGCTCCATTCTGGGCCCAGCCTCATTCACTGCATTTATTTAATTTTTGGCATTATCAGTTGTGACTGGGATATTAGTACTGGGCCTTTGTCTTCCATTCCTCCGCTGCTTGTCTCAGTACCTGCGCTGTGTGACTGTGTGACTGTCGTAGAGGGGGCGTGTCTGCAGTGCCAGACTTCTCATCTCCCAGTCTGCGGTGATGAAGTGAGCGGTTCCGCTCATGGATCTATTATAGGTTCCGCGGGACGTCCAAGCGTCAGTCGTGAGCGCAGCTGTGATGCGCGGGAGAGTTGACTTTAGCCCGGTCTGACTGTGCGTAAAGGAGCTGCTTAAATGCCGCGACAATAAGCGGTCGTTGAGACGCTTTTTTCACTCATGTCTTTCTTGTGCCACAGTGCTTACACATCGTGACAGTTTTGTCGAATATTAATCATCAGTATAGTTACAGTGAAGCCAAAATGCTCTCATACTGGGGATTTAAATGACGCAGGGCTTTCAAGCATCTCCGTTCCTCCGCTCGCAATGACCACGCTGTGTGTGGACTGAACAACGTGCGCACAACTTTTTTTTCATAAATCAAACCGCGGATCACATCTGTACCGAACCGAAGACGTCGAACCGAACGGATCACGGATCAGTGATGAACCGTTGCACCTTTACTGCCTGACATATGCAGGAGGTAGTTTAATAAAAATGATGAGCTTGTGTATGTCTCTAACCCTCCAGAGTGAAGATCCGCTCTCCCAGTGCGTCCACTATGTCCTTCAGAGCAGATTCATCTGTGACGTTGAAGAAGTGTTGCTCGTCAGGATCACTGGCAATGAACCTGATTTCCTTCAGGAAAGACTCTGGGTTTGTGCCTCTGCGGTTATAGTACCCAAGAACCTGCAGGACACAAGGAGACAAGAACATCAGAGAGACCCAGGACCTGCAGGTTCTTCACTCTTTGTGAGAAGAACCTCTGGTCCTCTGTGTGAAACTCACCGCGATGGCGTAGAGTGTGATGTTCTCCCTCTCGCTCTGCTCCACCGCCTGCTGCAGGTCTGGACTGTCGTGAGACTCTCCATCTGTGATCACTATCATCACCTTCTTTGCTCCAGGACGACCGCCACGTTTAAACGCCTCTCTCCTAAACACAAGAATAATGAGACTAATGGAACTACAGCCTCAGTCCTGAGTCTACAGCCTTAGTCCTGGATCTACAACCTCAGTCCTGGATCTACAACCTCAGTCCTGTCTCAGGTCAGGAGTTACCGGGCCGTGGCGATGCCCAGTGCCGTCCTGGTCTCCTCGCCGCCTCTCTGGTCGATTATGCGAGCTGCTGTCACCACATCGTCCACCGTGAGGTAGTCTCCCAAAGAGAACTCATGCACCACAGAAGATCCATACTGGACCACTCCCACCTGCGGGGTCAAAGGTCAGAGGTCAGGGCTCTCTGAAGAACCAGGTCATGTGAAGCAGAGAGACTCGCGTAGAAGCGCCTGGGGCCACGGGGCTGATTTGAATTGTAGCCCCTATATCAGCGAGGACCGTACCCACCGCATGAGCAGACGTACAGCTGTACAGCCGTGCTCGTCTGCCCAAAGCAGATGCCCCACATATTTTTGCTGGTGGGGTGGACCCAGAAAAAGAATTACCCAATGCTTTTGTATGGCGTCTTCTTTCCTCTGGAAAACGTCTTTACAGGATGGTCGGCTCTGTGTTTGAACTTAGCTCCTCTCAGCATCTCGGAAGTATTTTTTCTATCATAAAGATATGCGTCCAGCCACATCAGTCGCTGAGACCATGAAGACAAACATGAGTTTTATCGCTCTACATCAGTTCTCTGCCCGTACTGTCCTCAACACTTCTCCAAAGACTACACAGGGACAGCATCAGCAGCCAGCTGTGTCTCTGTGGCTCTGCTGATGACGAGAGACGCTTGTCTCTCGCTGCACTTGTGGTGTGTGCGAGCCGTTAGAGGACTACAGAACTTTCCTGATGGAAACATGTTTCTGTTGGTTCATCAGTGACATGAAGAGGAGACTGTTCTGTTAGAGGAGACACAAACACTTGTATAAACCCTGTGTAAACCTTGTAATGACACCTGTGTGACTGAGTTTAGGTGAACAAGGTGAAGATTCAACCTTCACTGCTCTTTAATCAGTGTTCCCACTGGAACTCCGCTTTTACTTTCAGACTAAATTAGTTTCTGCAGAAATAAAAATCATTTTTGCAGATTAGACCAGAGCTCTATCCGACCGTGAAGTGTGTCAAACACAAGCCCCGGTAATCCAAGATGGCGCCCTATTCAAATGAATGGCTTGTGCTCAGTAGTGTATGGGACTTCATGGAGACCGGGAGATTAGCTGAACTCGTCTATATTTGGGCATCGTCTGCTCCTCCCGGTTCTGCGCAGTGGATTATCTCCCATGATACGTCGCGGCAAACGTGCGTGTGTGGCTCTCATGCACGCGCACAGAGGGGCTCGGCCGCGCTCTGACCGATCAGAGCTGCTCATTAGAGAAGCGGAAGAGCGGAGCAAGAGCGGGAAGGCAGGGAGCAGAGTTTGTGGCACTAAAGTGTGGATTTAAAGAAAATCGAAGGATTGAAGAAGAAAAAAAGGGACACTAAAATCCTCACAAAATCCGATCTTTATGAAAGCTGTAGGTTCTCTGTCAGCTGAGGTCGAGCTGTTTTAATTTACATTGAGATTTTTTTCTGGGTATCCCTCGTGAAATTAGTTCGCAGTACCAGTGGGGGCCCCTGTGTCCATGGGTGGGACAGATGTAAGCTAGTAATACCCTATCCAGTTATTATTATAGATCCATAGTCAACAAAACAGTGTGAATAAGTCTCACACCTGCTAGCACTGTACACACATGCTAGCACTGTGCAGTTCAGATTCAGATTCAGATTCATTTATTTGCCATTTGCAGTAAAACCACATTGGAAAAACTGTGCAAGACTACCCCGGTGTGCACCAGACACACACCAGAGCTCTTGCCACGGCGCCATCTTTACGCCGCCATGCGCAGTTACCCGAATAAGGAATCTCTGGTTCAGTTTGATAACTTTTATTTGATTGATTTTTAGGTTTAAGCAAAGTTTCTACAAAAGCAGGAAATCTAAATAATAATAGTATAGAATGTTGGTCATTGTTATTGGCATAGATATGTGTTCATGTGACATCACAACACTCCAGCTGGACCGACCTGAGTCTGACCTGGGCCAATGTAGAACTTCTGCAGGACGTTGATGAGGAAGTCCTGGACCTCGGACCAGGGGTAGATGGAATTAGAGCCGTCCAACACTATCACGATGTCCATGAACGTCTCACACCCTGAAAACACACAGAGGATGAGGTCTGTGGAGGAACCTGGGTCTGAACCAGAGTGGGGTCTGTGGAGGAACCTAGGTCTGAACCAGAGTGGGGTCTGCAGAGGAATCTAGGTCTGAACCAGAGTGAGGTCTGTGGAGGAACCTAGGTCTGAACCAGAGTGAGGTCTGTGGAGGAACCTAGGTCTGAACCAGAGTGGGGTCTGCAGAGGAACCTAGGTCTGAACCAGAGTGAGGTCTGCAGAGGAACCTAGGTCTGAACCAGAGTGAGGTCTGTGGAGGAACCTAGGTCTGAACCAGAGTGAGGTCTGCAGAGGAACCTAGGTCTGAACCAGAGTGGGGTCTGCAGAGGAACCTAGGTCTGAACCAGAGTGAGGTCTGTGGAGGAACCTAGGTCTGAACCAGAGTGGGGTCTGCAGAGGAACCTAGGTCTGAACCAGAGTGAGGTCTGTGGAGGAACCTAGGTCTGAACCAGAGTGAGGTCTGTGGAGGAACCTAGGTCTGAACCAGAGTGGGGTCTGCAGAGGAACCTAGGTCTGAACCAGAGTGAGGTCTGCAGAGGAACCTAGGTCTGAACCAGAGTGAGGTCTGTGGAGGAACCTGGGTCTGAACCAGAGTGAGGTCTGTGGAGGAACCTAGGTCTGAACCAGAGTGGGGTCTGCAGAGGAATCTAGGTCTGAACCAGAGTGAGGTCTGTGGAGGAACCTAGGTCTGAACCAGAGTGAGGTCTGTGGAGGAACCTAGGTCTGAACCAGAGTGGGGTCTGCAGAGGAACCTAGGTCTGAACCAGAGTGAGGTCTGCAGAGGAACCTAGGTCTGAACCAGAGTGAGGTCTGTGGAGGAACCTAGGTCTGAACCAGAGTGAGGTCTGTGGAGGAATCTAGGTCTGAACCAGAGTGAGGTCTGCAGAGGAACCTAGGTCTGAACCAGAGTGGGGTCTGCAGAGGAACCTAGGTCTGAACCAGAGTGAGGTCTGTGGAGGAACCTAGGTCTGAACCAGAGTGGGGTCTGCAGAGGAACCTAGGTCTGAACCAGAGTGAGGTCTGTGGAGGAACCTAGGTCTGAACCAGAGTGGGGTCTGTGGAGGAACCTAGGTCTGAACCAGAGTGGGGTCTGCAGAGGAATCTAGGTCTGAACCAGAGTGAGGTCTGCAGAGGAACCTAGGTCTGAACCAGAGTGGGGTCTGCAGAGGAACCCAGGTCTGAACCTGAGAGTGTGATCCTCAAGTGTGTCTCGGTGAGGATGGTCTCAGAGATCCTCTTTGTTTTAGAATCCAGCTGTAATTGTGATAAAGTGGTCTCACTCTGGTGCTGACAAAGATTAAGACGTCTCACTCTGCTGGTCCTGACGGGGATATAGAGGTCTCACTCTGCTGGTCCTGACGGGGATATAGAGGTCTCACTCTGCTGGTTCTGACAGAGAAAAAGAGGTCTCACTCTGGTCCTGACAGAGATAAAGAGGTCTCACTCCAGTCCTGACACGGACAAAGAGCTCTCACTCTGGTCCTGACAGAGATAAAGAGGTCTCACTCTGGTCCTGACAGAGATAAAGAGGTCTCACTCCAGTCCTGACACGGACAAAGAGCTCTCACTCTGGTCCTGACAGAGATAAAGAGGTCTCACTCTGCAGGGCGGGGGCCATGGTGTGGGACAGTCTGAAGTTACGTCCAACACGAGAGCAGATCCCAGTACTGTAGAGAGAACTCCCACACTCATGAGACCAGAGAGGACCACAGGTCTGTGGAAGAAGACACACCATCAGGAGACACCAGAGAGACAAGGGACACCAGAGAGACCTCAGAGAGAAACCAGAGGGAGATCAGAGAGAGACTATAGAGACCAGAAAGACCAGAGAGAGACAAGACTAGAGAGATACCAGAGAAAGATCAGAGACAGAGAGACCAGAAAAAGAGACCGGGGATCAGAGAAAGACCAGAAAGACCAGAGGGATGAAAGAGGGACCAGAAAGACCAGAGAGACCAAGTGTGTTGCTCATGGGTCACACTCACCACAAAGCTGCTATCTCTGGGGTTGGACGTTAGACTCATCCCCAGCCTCATGCCGTCTTTTCGTTCGGACACATGGTCCAGAGACAGTTTCCCTGAGGAACCAGAACAGAAACACATTTTCAGGGGCCGTGTATTCTGGTCTTGCACACAGCGCCTTGAATTGGGAGATGTCTCAAAGATCGGGAGCTCCTTTAATCTGTGACTCACCGAGGTTCAGTCTCGAGCAGTTTGCATCGATCCTGAAATCCAGAGGACACCTGAACACATCACCGGTCTGTCTCCTCCCAGTGGACTCTAAGGGGGCTCCCACCAGCAACCTGGACACACAGACACACACATGCACACACGCACACACGCACACACACACAGAGAGAGAGAGACAGACACGCACGTCCATACACACACACAGAGAGAGACACACACACACAGAGGGGGAGACACACCCACACATGCACACACACATACAGACACACAGAGAGAGAGAGACACACACATGCACACACACAGAGAGACACACACACATGCACACACACGGAGAGAGAGAGACACACGCACACACAGACACAGAGAGAGACACACACACACACACACAGACACAGAGAGAGAGACACACACACATACACACACACATACAAACACACAGAGACACACACACACAGACACAGAGAGAGACACACACACATACACACGTACACACACACATACAAACACACACAGACACACACACATACACACGTACACACACACATACAAACACACAGAGACACACACACACAGACACAGAGAGAGACACACAGATACACACGTACACACACACACAGACACAGAGAGAGACACACACACACAGCGAGAGACACACACATACACACGTACACACACAGACACACACATATGTACACATATATAATACCCATGATTTAAGGATTTATCTTAAGTCTCAGGTTCAATAAACAGGAAGCCGGTCTCCTCAGGTCTCTTCAGGTCTCCGCAGGTCTCCTCAGGTCTCCGCAGGGGGCGCCTTTGATTGAGCCACATTCCAGAGTCATTAAAGCCTCAGTGAATCAGATTCAGGCTCAGATTGAGGACTTCAGCAGCAGTTTTAGCAGCGGTGGCTTTAAAGGAAATGTTTAATGATGAGGAACAGAGGGGAACTTAACAGAGAGACCTGAGACCTCATACTGAGAAACAATGATTCAAACACATGTAGCACATCACCTCCTGCTCACAGAACATGGAGAACGTGCAACGACGGTAGATCCTACACATGTAAATACACTCACATTAAAGCTGGGGTACCTAACTTTTTTCTCCATAATTAATGTAGTTTGTCCTTCAAAAAAAGTCTTGCAAAAGTAAAGTCAGACCATGTCCTCATCTGATCAGAAAACCTTTCACCTTTTCTATACTTCAGAAGAACCTGAAACTGATGGAAGGACAAACTGGTGATGGAACCAAACTTTGTAAAGTCTAATCTGTAATTAATCACATAGTTCCATGATCAATCAATCAATCACAGATGGAGAAATTCAGTTCGAGGAATAAACATCAAGGCTGGCTGTGTACTTTATTTCCGCGCTCCTCATGACAGTTATTCAACAGCAGACATATGATATATGCTTTAAGGCTGAAGAAATGTATGTAAATGATTTTTATTTATGCATGCCTTCTTGATTTTACTCTGCTTTACTTGTTTGGACCGAGAGCAAAAGCGATTTCGTGACTTTGTGACTTCTTGCTACTCACATGGCAATAAAAGAATTCTGATTTAGATTCTGATTTAAAGCAATACTCGCATATATCAGTCAAATTTGGTTGTTTTCCTAAACTTACAGCACCACAAACATGTCCTCCTCCAGACAGAGGAGGACTTATATTGTTGTTGTCTCATCTACACACACGCATACATACACACAAACACACACACACCCACACACACATACTGGAGTCTAAGGTCAGCAGCCGGAGTCCCACTGTTTCCAGTGAGAAACCAGTCATTAGTCTGGTTCAGAGTAAACATCTCCACATGAGGAGCTTCTGGGAAGAGAAGAGTCACTGATGTGACGCTAACTCAGACAGAGGTCCAGAGGTCTGAACCAGGTGTGAACCAGGTGTGAACCACGTCTGGCCCATGTCGGAACTAGGTCGAAACCAGGTCGAAGCCAGGTCTGAACCAGGACTGAACTGGTCCCTGTCACTCCTGACCAGAGACAGTCCAGGATTACTCTGAGTGAGTTTGAGGGTCAGGACTGACACTCAGGAGTGTGAACAGTATAGTATATAATGTAACCATGAACAGTTCCCTGTTGGGCGTCACTGATCTAGCGGGTTAGCACCATGTGTTTATTATAAAAAGAGTATAATTACCCCACCCATAGGCGCGGGAGGCACTGCGGTACTAAAGACTAAATTCACGCGGGCCATACCCAGAAAAACCTCATCTGACAGAGAACCTACAGATTTCATAAAGGTCTGATTTTGTGGGGATTTTAGTGTCCCTTGTCATTCTGAACTTTTTTCTTGTTACATCCTTCAGTTTTATATAAATCCACACTTTAGTGCAGCAAACTGTGCTTGTGTGCCTCCTGCTCAAGCTCCGCTCAGATCACCAGCCGATGATTGGTCGGATCGCGGCTGTGCCCTCTGTGCAGGTTCATGAGAGCCACACAGGTGTGTTGGGAGCAAAGCATCATGGGAGCACGTTCCACTAATCATGGGAAAGTTCCGCTAATCATTTGGTACCCATGGTGGTCCCATGCGCCGCCACGTGATTAGACCGCCATCTTGGATCCTCACTCCACACAGAGATGGAGCAGGTCACCTATAGGGGGCGCCTGCCAGACCTTATTGTAGATAGGTAGGTGAAACCGAAGCACCCGGAAGAAACCTACGCAGACACAGGGAGAACATGCAAACTCCACATGGAAAGGTCCTGGAGGTGGAATCAAACCTTACGGGTCAATTACTGGTCAGTTACTGTTTAGTGTTGGGTTGAGGTTAAGTTTAATGTTGATTCTAAAAGATTTCCAGATATTTTAGTGTTTCCAGAGCAGTGATGCTCTTCTTCTTTACAGTCTGAAGATTCTGCAGAGATTAGAACTAACTAAAACCATCTAGAGGGAAACAGCCTTTAAACCAGGAGTGAACCTCTGACATCACAACGAGGATTCCAATGAAGCCACTTCCTGTGACATCACTCTTGTCTCCTGAGCAGGTGCTGGACGTGATGCTGAAGCTAACGATCAGCAGATGTTTAGGCAGATGTTCTTGTAGTGAGGACTTAGTCATTGTTTCCTGCTTCTGTGCAAAGTGCTGTGGTTTCAGCTTTAATGATTTTCTCCTGAGGGCTGACACCGGAGCCAGTGTCTCCGGTGTCAGAAAATATAAATTAGACGAATAACAACTTTATCAATGACAAGAAACACACACCATCAAATGACTAACGAACAAAAGCCGACAATTTAGTGTGTGTGTGTGTGTGTGTGTGTGTGTGTGTGTGTGTGTGTGTGTGTGTGTGTGTGTGTGTGTATGTGCAAGAAAATATGAAACGCAACAACACAAATATTGCAAAAGTATCGTTCAATCATTCAGGCATCACTTTACGTTACGTTTGTGAAATCACTGAATTCTTCATAGATAAATATTGTTTAAACAAACGTGAGGAGTCCCCACACATCAGCATTTCCCTCTTCCACACAGATTATCGTTATTTAGCTTTAGAGCGGCACACTTCACTGACACAGGCACACTTCACTGACACAGGTACACTTCACTGACACAGGCACACTTCACTGACACAGGTACACTTCACTGACACAGGCACACTTCACTGACACAGGCACACTTCACTGACACAGGCACACTTCACTGACACAGGTACACTTCACTGACACAGGCACACTTCACTGACACAGGCACACTTCACTGACACAGGCACACTTCACTGACACAGGTACACTTCACTGACACAGGCACACTTCACTGACACAGGTACACTTCACTGACACAGGCACACTTCACTGACACAGGCACACTTCACTGACACAGGCACACTTCACTGACACAGGTACACTTCACTGACACAGGCACACTTCACTGACACAGGCACACTTCACTGACACAGGCACACTTCACTGACACAGGCACACTTCACTGACACAGGTACACTTCACTGACACAGGCACACTTCACTGACACAGGCACACTTCACTGACACAGGCACACTTCACTGACACAGGCACACTTCACTGACACAGGCACACTTCACTGACACAGGTACACTTCACTGACACAGGCACACTTCACTGACACAGGCACACTTCACTGACACAGGCACACTTCACTGACACAGGCACACTTCACTGACACAGGCACACTTCACTGACACAGGTACACTTCACTGACACAGGCACACTTCACTGACACAGGCACACTTCACTGACACAGGCACACTTCACTGACACAGGCACACTTCACTGACACAGGCACACTTCACTGACACAGGTACACTTCACTGACACAGGTACACTTCACTGACACAGGTACACTTCACTGACACAGGCACACTTCACTGACACAGGCACACTTCACTGACACAGGCACACTTCACTGACACACTTCACTGACACAGGTTAAAAAACTGCTCTGACTGACGCGACTGTTATGATCCGTGCGTCGCACAAAACATTTGTTAGATCTGCAGAGAAGAGAGCTGTGATAAACAGGAGGCCTCACACCTTCACAAACAGAGGAACTCCAGCGGGAGACACAGGTCAGCACAGGTCAGGGTCCCACAGGAGTAAACAGGACTAAACCAGGTCTCAATAGGACTAAACCGGGACTAAACCTGGGGTAAACCAGAACTAAACCAGGTCTAAACCAGGTCTAAACCAGGTCTAAACCAGGACTAAACCAGGACTAAACCGGGACTAAACAGGGACTAAACCAGGTCTCAACCAGGACTAAACCGGGACTAAACAGGAACTAAACCAGGACTAAACGTGGTCTAAACCAGGTCTAAACCAAGACTAAACCAGGTGTAAACCAGGACTAAACGTGGTATAAACCAGGACTAAACCAGGACTAAACAGGGACTAAACCAGGACTAAACGTGGTCTAAACCAGGTCTAAACCAAGACTAAACCAGGACTAAACCAGGATTAAACCAGGACTAAACCGGGACTAAACAGGGACTAAACCAGGACTCAACCAGGAATAACATGGTCTAAACCAGGTCTAAACCAGGACTTAACCAGGACTAAACCAGGCCTGCACCAGGACTAAACCAGAACTTAACAAGGACTAAATTGCCAAAGAAATATCAAACATGACACTGGTTAATAAAGGTTTTGGACTGTAGCTTTAGATCCGTTTTTCATATCGACTTTAACTTGATTTGAAATGAAAAATGTCTTTAAAATAACTTTCAATTGAACCAAAACTATTCAACATTAAGCCAAAGGTAAATATTGATGTAACTTCTGTCTCACACTTTTCACCACAATCTGTCAAACTGTGAAGATCCAAGTCTGATTACTGTCTGCTGTTCAGGCCTGAGCACAGAGAGATAACCCAAGTGGGGAGAACAGGGGGGGGGGGGCAGGGGGGAGGACAGGGGGAGAGGGGGAGGGGCACAATAACAAACCACAGAGACATAGTTTCCAGGAGATGCCGCCTCAGGAGCAGAGCACATAGTTTCCACTGATTCACCTGTAGTTCACAGACGGGACCCTGTTGCTGTGAGGAGCCTCAGAGGAGTCGCAGAAGACAGAAGAGTCAGAGAGGAGTCACAAAGAGAGGCCGAAACCATGAAACACCAACGTGTGAACAAAAAGCCAATCCGATCAACTCTGTGGCCTTACTGTTGCAGCGAAACAGGACCTGAGCACAGGTTTATACTTTTGTCTAATAAATGTCATTCATAACAACAAATTACTGCAGAGGTTCAAACTGTCAGATATACGTCTGAATCACAGAGAAACACAGGTCTCTCTCACTGGTCTTTCACCTTTCACCTCTGGTTTTTCTCTGGTCTCTCTCTGGTCTTTCTCTGGGTTCTCCCTGGTCTCTCTCTGGTCTTTCTCTGGGTTCTCCCTGGTCTCTATCTGGTCTTTATCTGGATCTCTCTCTGGTCTCTTTCTGGTCTCTCACTGGTGTCTCTCTCTGGTCTTTCACCTGTCACCTGTCTCTCTCTGGTCTCACTCTCTGGTCTCTCTCTCTGGTCTCTTTCTGGTCTCTCTCTTGTCTCACTCTCTGGTCTCTCACTTGTCACCTGTCTCTTTCTGGTCTCACTCTCTCTGGTCTCTCACTCGTCACCTGTCTCTCTCTGGTCTCACTCTGGTTCTCTCTCTCTGGTCTCTCACTCGTCACCTGTCTCTCTCTGGTCTCACTCTCTCTGGTCTCTCACTCGTCACCTGTCTATCTCTGGTCTCACTCTCTGGTCTCTCTCTCTGGTCTCTTTCTGGTCTCTCTCTGGTCTCACTCTCTCTGGTCTCTCACTCGTCACCTGTCTCTCTCTGGTCTCACTCTGGTCTCTCTCTCTGGTCTCTCACGCGTCACCTGTCTCTCTCTGGTCTCACTCTCTGATCTCTCTCTCTGGTCTCTCACATGTCACCTGTCTCTCTCCGGTCTCACTCTGGTCTCTCTCTCTGGTCTCTCACATGTCACCTGTCTCTCTCCGGTCTCACTCTGGTCTCACTCTCTCTGGTCTCTCACTCGTTACCTGTCTCTCTCTCTGGTCTCTCACATGTCACCTGTCTCTCTCCGGTCTCACTCTGGTCTCTCTCTCTGGTCTCTCACATGTCACCTGTCTCTCTCTGGTCTCTGCCGGACATTACTTTGTTCCATCTCTCCTTCTGCCCTGACACCAATCTCCGCAGGTAGAAAAACAGTGCAGATCTAAACGTCTGCTTGCCTCTCAGAGCTCTGAGCTCTGAAAGCTCCACACATCAAACACAAACTTCATCTACAGCAAGAAGAGATTTAGCTCAACCTCCTCCTCTCTCTCTGAGCAGTAACAACAGACTTCTCTCTGCTCTAACTGTTCCCAGGGCTTTCTCATTCACTTTGGAACAGAGGAAAATAGATTTTATAATGACGTGGAAAGAATGAATAAATACATTTAAGTTTAAGTTTCATGATGCAAAGTGGTTATACATTAAAATTTTAAACTCTGGTCTCTTTCTAGTCTCTCTCTGGTCTCTCTTTTTAGTGTCTGGTCTCTCTCTTGTCCCTCTCTGGTCTCTTTCTAGTCTCTCTCTTGTCTCTCTTTTTAGTCTCTCTGGTCTCTCTCTGGTCTCTCTCTTGTCCCTCTGGTCTCTCACTGGTCTCTCTCTGGTCTTTCTTTTTAGTCTCTTTGGTCTCTCTCTCGTCTCTCTCTTGTCCCTCTGGTCTCTCACTGGTCTCTCTCTGGTCTCTCTCTCGTCTTTCTTTTTAGTCTCTCTGGTCTCTCTCTCGTCTCTCTCTTGTCCATCTCTGGTCTCTCAATGATCTCTCTCTGGTCTCTCTCGTCCCCTGGTTTTTACTGTCTTAATCTCTCACCAGCTCCTGCCTCCCGCTTCATGCTGCTGGACTGTATATCCAAACTGTGTGTCCTTGGATCCTCTGAAGATCTTGAAGTTTTTTGTGTCAAAGTTGTATCCGTCACTCAGCCCTGAAACACAAACACACAACATTTTGAAGTAAGTAAAGTCAAGGTTCAGAGATCCTGTATTTTTGTCCCATTATTTGTGTCTCTGTGTGAAAGCTTTAGTTGTAGAACACATGTTTCCTGGTCTCTAATGGAGCTCCCTCTGGTGCATCAGTCTGAGCGGGCTCCATTGGTCTGCACAGAGCTGCCTCTCACTCACATACCGCTCAGATAATGGCTGAACTTTCCCCAGAGATTCTGCATAGTTTTTAAAGTGTTTGGTGCTTTCAAAACGCTCCATTTTAATCTGTTTTTGAAACATGAAAAAGGTATCAGCTTTAAAACACCTTCCTCCTGCTTCTTCAGCCTCTGAGCTCTCTCTGCCACCGGTTTTGTTTGTGACACAGATGTGAATAAATATTTACACTGAGGCAGATAAGTGGATGTTTGTGGGTTTTGTAAAAAGTGACCGTTTTAAATAGCAGTTTTTGGACACTGAAAGACGCTTTACATCTCATTATTCATTCACTCCATAGATGTTGGTGATAAACTACTACTGTAGCCACAGCTGCCCTGGGGCACACTGACAGAAGCGAGGCAACCAGTATGTGCCATCGGCCCCTCTGACCACCACCAACCGTTCACACACCAGACTCATTTTGGGCAATGGGGGTGAAGTGTCTTGCCTAAGGACACAACGGCAGTTTGGTCTCTCTCTCTGTTCTCTCTCTCTGGTTTCTCTCTCTGGTTTCTCTCAGGGGTCTCTTATGGTCTCTCTCTTTGGTTTCTCTCAGGTCTCTCTCTGGTCTCTCTCTTTGGTTTCTCTCAGGTCTCTCTCTGGTCTCTCTCTTTGGTTTATCTCTGCACCTTATTTGACCTTGAGCCAAAACACGTTCCCCGTTTGTGACTTCCTCTTACTCACACTTGCAATAGAAGAATTCTGATCTGATTCTGATCTGATCTGATCCTGATCGGTCCCACACATGTGCCTCTCTTGGTTCTGCTCCTTCAGGAATGTGCTCTGACTGTTGGACCTCGTCCAGAAAAAGGTGAAATCATAGTTTTCCAGAAACTGAAGTTTATGAAGAAGACGTGAGTTTGTTGTTTTTGGACCAGATTCTGAAGCTGAAGGAAAAGTTAAAAAAAGAGGAGACAGGAGCAAAGTTTATCCAGGAGTCAGATTAGAGACATGTGATTGGTCAGGGGTCAGGGTCAGGAGGGTTTCTCAAACAGTAGTTATGGTCCCACTTCACTACTGTCACCTTCCCCTCCAGGCCCTCTTCAGCTCTTCTCTGAGCCTTTGGTATTTCTTTCATGCTCTTTATTCCTGATGTTACCATCGCTTGGAATTGCCACGTCCACCACCACGGCTGTCCTCTGCCCTTTGTCTACCACCACGATGTCAGGTTGGTGCCATTACCATTCGGTCGGTCTGTATCTGGAAGTCCCACTGGATCTTCACACGCTCAATCTCCACCACCTTTGGAGGAGTTTCCCATTTAGACCTTGGGGTTTCCAGTCCATACTCTGCACAGATATTTCTGTACACTCTCCAGCGACTTGGTTATGGCGTTCCACGTAGGCTATGTATGTCCTCTCTTCCAGCACCTCCTCATCTCACCACTGTCTGAGACATTCACTGAGTACATCATTCGTTGGGGATTTCTCCATGATGTGGTTATGGAGTTTGGATGTCACACTAGTACTCGACCTCCTCCTTTACGGCTTACGTACAGTCTCAGGGTGCTGGATGTGGCATGGAACCCGCCATGCATGGTGAGGAGCTTTCGAGTTTTAACATCTGGCCCCCGATTATTCCAGGGTATCTGATCACTGGCAGGGAGTAGCTTGCAATGGCCTTAATATATAGTGGGGCAAAAAAGTATACCTCAAATCATTGTGGAAGATAAGTAATTGGTCAATAACAGGGGTCTCTTATGGTCTCTCTCTTTGGTTTCTCTCAGGTCTCTCTCTGGTCTCTCTCTTTGGTTTCTCTCAGGTCTCTCTCTGGTCTCTCTCTTTGGTTTATCTCTGCACCTTATTTGACCTTGAGCCAAAACACGTTCCCCGTTTGTGACTTCCTCTTACTCACACTTGCAATAGAAGAATTCTGATCTGATTCTGATCTGATCTGATCCTGATCGGTCCCACACATGTGCCTCTCTTGGTTCTGCTCCTTCAGGAATGTGCTCTGACTGTTGGACCTCGTCCAGAAAAAGGTGAAATCATAGTTTTCCAGAAACTGAAGTTTATGAAGAAGACGTGAGTTTGTTGTTTTTGGACCAGATTCTGAAGCTGAAGGAAAAGTTAAAAAAAGAGGAGACAGGAGCAAAGTTTATCCAGGAGTCAGATTAGAGACATGTGATTGGTCAGGGGTCAGGGTCAGGAGGGTTTCTCAAACAGTAGTTATGGTCCCACTTCACTACTGTCACCTTCCCCTCCAGGCCCTCTTCAGCTCTTCTCTGAGCCTTTGGTATTTCTTTCATGCTCTTTATTCCTGATGTTACCATCGCTTGGAATTGCCACGTCCACCACCACGGCTGTCCTCTGCCCTTTGTCTACCACCACGATGTCAGGTTGGTGCCATTACCATTCGGTCGGTCTGTATCTGGAAGTCCCACTGGATCTTCACACGCTCAATCTCCACCACCTTTGGAGGAGTTTCCCATTTAGACCTTGGGGTTTCCAGTCCATACTCTGCACAGATATTTCTGTACACTCTCCAGCGACTTGGTTATGGCGTTCCACGTAGGCTATGTATGTCCTCTCTTCCAGCACCTCCTCATCTCACCACTGTCTGAGACATTCACTGAGTACATCATTCGTTGGGGATTTCTCCATGATGTGGTTATGGAGTTTGGATGTCACACTAGTACTCGACCTCCTCCTTTACGGCTTACGTACAGTCTCAGGGTGCTGGATGTGGCATGGAACCCGCCATGCATGGTGAGGAGCTTTCGAGTTTTAACATCTGGCCCCCGATTATTCCAGGGTATCTGATCACTGGCAGGGAGTAGCTTGCAATGGCCTTAATATATAGTGGGGCAAAAAAGTATACCTCAAATCATTGTGGAAGATAAGTAATTGGTCAATAACAAAATGTCATCTCTTCTTCCCACTCCTTTTTGAGCCTCTTTTTTCTTTACCCATATATTATGTTGTACAGATCCTCCCTCCTCTTTGTTTTGTTTTGTTCTTCATTTGTTGCCCATGTAAGTGGGTACAGTGCTTTCTGTATTGTGCAGAATGTTATCATTTTGTATGGCTAAAAATAAAGTATTCAATCAACAATTTGTTTTGTACCTTTTGTTGAAAATGCCAAAGTTTTCCCACACTCCTGCTGGTATTTTGGCCCATTCCTCTATGCAGATCTCCTCTAGAGCGGTGATGCCTTGGGGTTGTCGCTGGGCAACACAGACCTCAGACTGGCCTGGACATGCACTGACTAAAGCAGGGGGACTCATCTGACTGCAGGATTTGAGTCCCTGGCGGCATAGTGTGTTACTGATGGTAGCCTTTGTTACTTTGTTCCCGCGTGTGGTTCTGTGATTATGCTCATCATTCTTGACCATTTTGACCCCACGGGGTGAAATCTTGGGTGGAGCCCCTGATCGAAGGAGATTATCAGTGGTCTTGTACAGTATGTCTTCCATTTTCTTACTAATTGCTCGCACAGTTGATTTCTTCAAACCAAGCTGCTTACCTTTTGGAGATTCTGTCTTCCCAGCCTGGTGCAGGTCTACAATTTAGTTTCTGGTGTCCTTTAGCAGCTCTTTGGTCTTGGGTATAGTGGAGTTTGGAGTGTGTTTGAGGTTGTGGACAGGTTTCTTTCATACTGATAACGAGTTCAAACAAGTGAGATTAATACAGGTAACAGGTGGAGGACAGAGGAGCCTCTTAAAGAAGAAGTTACAAGTTTGTGAGAGCCACACCTTGCTTGTTTGCAGGTGACCAAATACATATTTTGCACATTTCTTTAAAAATCAGTGGAGGGGGGCAAGGGGTAAATCAGATTTCTGGATTTTTTTTCTCATTCTGTCTCTCATAGTTGAGGATTACCTATGATGAAAATTACAGGCCTCCTTCATCCAAGTCTCTCATACAATTTATGTTACAGACTGCTGCCAAAATATAAATGTTTCTCTGTCCTTTACGATCCATAACTGACATCATCTGGTTTTTATCAAAGGCCTGAAAGAAAAGAACTGATAAATCACATCTGATTCTTTTTATCCCATCTCAAGGTTAAAGCTGGGGTCAGTAACTTTAAACCTGGGGTCTGTAACTCAGTATTAAACCCATGTATCTAGTTCTGCCTCTAAAACAGCAGCTTCTGTAGCTAGTTTCACATCATATACTGTATTTGTTTTGTCACATCTCCAAAGAGTACCACCTTCACTCGGCCAATCAGCTCTCAGCCCAAAGAGGCAGAGACTCACAGGGCTTGCACATATTTTGTAATGAAATGAAGACAATATGTTGTGTCTAATTCATTCGTGAACATGTGGACTTTCTATTGAGTGTGTGAATCTCCCTCAGATCTTTGACCGCAGCTCACAAACTCCCTCCAACAACAAACAGTGTGTTCTGAGTGCGGCAGACTCCTCTCCCCAGAGGGTGTTGGAACATGTGGACTCTGCTGCTCCTGGACTCAGTGTTTATGTATTTGTTTATTTGAGACCAGCTTCTGTGGGGACCAAGCATTCTGACCTCGCTCCAGTCCACAGGGGTCCGCTGTGGGGGGTGAGGGCTGAGGGCCAGAGCCTCTGGTTCATGTGGGCTTGAAACCAATTGCAGCTCAATGGAGAAAACAACATTTGCATTTGAGAAAATGTATATTTCTCTCTGTGTCAGATCTGTGTGTGTGTGTGTGTGTGTCAGCTCTGTGTGTGTTTCAGCTCAGTGTGTGTCAGCTCTGTGTGTGTTTCAGCTCAGTGTGTGTCAGCTCTGTGTGTGTAATCTCTGTGTGTGTCAGCCGTGTGTGTGTCAGCTGTGTATGTCAGCTCTGTGTGTCAGCTCTGTGTGTGTCAGCTCTGTGTGTCAGCTCTGTGTGTGTCAGCTCTGTGTGTCAGCTCTGTGTATGTCAGCTCTGTGTGTCAGCTCTGTGTGTGTCAGCTCTGTGTGTCAGCTCTTTGTGTCAGCTCTGTGTGTATCAGCTCTGTGTGTGTCTGTCAGCTCTGTGTGTGTGTGTCAGCTCTGTGTGTGTCTGTCAGCTCTGTGTGTGTGTGTGTCAGCTCTGTGTGTGTAAGCTCTGTGTGTGTCAGCATCAGAACTGTTCCTGTTTGGGGAGAAGTGTCTTAAAGCTTGGGTTCCTTGTGTTGCTTGTGCTTCTACAGAATGTGATGTTGTTTCATATTTCACAGAGCACCTTTCTCAGACCAGTCACAAAGCACTGTATATTTGCTGTTACATTTAAAGTTAGGAACCCGAGCTTTAATGTATTTACCTTTTACTCATGCTTTATCACTTATTATATTTTCATTTGTTTAGAGGAAACCGGAGCACACAGAGGGAACTGGAGCACACGGAGGAAACCTGTGCAGACATGCACAGAGAGACTCTATAACCTGCTTTTGCAGCACTCAACAAGGCTGTGGTAAACTTCTGCTTTCATAATTTCTTTGATTCAATTCAATTTGTGTCTCGCACTAAACCACAGCAGCAGCCGTCTTTGAGGACGTCACACAGTTGTGGATTCACCAACAGCAGATCAGAAAATCAAACACATAATGCAATGATAACAAACAGAGATCCTTGATGTGACGAATGACAACAGCTTCCTCTAAACCAGACAGTCATGACCTCAGAGAGAAAGAACTAAATCACTTCTAATCCTCTGTCTTAAAACGCTCCTGTCTCAATATCACTTCATATATTATCCATAATTAAATAGAAACAAGTGTTTCCTTGTGTGTGTGTATATATATATATATATATATATATATATATATATATATATATATATATATATATATATATATGGTGTCTCACCTGTGAAGAGGCTGCAGGTCAACAGCAGCAGAGGGGGAAGTGCTCCCAAACAATCCATCATGAAGAGTGTGAGAGGAGAGAAGAGACCAGAGGAGAGAGACAGGGGAGAGGGGAGGGGAGAGAGAGGAGAGAGAGAGAAGGGGAGGAGAGAGACAGGGGAGAGGGAGATGAGAGAGGGGAGAGAGAGGAGGGAAGAAAGAGAGGAGAGAGAGGGAGGGATATATTGTGATTGTCTTTGTAAATCCAGACTTCCCTGCTCGTTCTGTTTTTTTACTCTTTCAAACCAATGCTCTGAAAGCCATTTTGCTGTATCTTGTGAAATGATCTGAATTTTGTCCACTAACAACCGGCCAATCAGAAGCCTTCTGAACCCTCAAATCAGCTTTGAAGGAAAACTAAACACCTGTGCCCAGCCTTTCTCTGTCCACATGAACATTTGAAAGTTCACTCTAAAAAGGGTGTTGCCTGGAGGATCAGGGGACAAGAAGGGGGGCTTAGAGTTGGGCGTGGTCTGGGCTGGGATCGACAGCTTGCATGACACACAGAGATAATTGTAGCTATAGACTGCTGAACCTAAACTACAGAATTATCTCAATAGTAGTGGCTGTCAACAGATGTAATGTAATTTTAAACCACTAGATGTCGTCAGACCACTCCAACTCGCTACGGGGTGTCTGTGAGACTGAGATGATTTTAAACCACAGGCGAAGAGTGATCTACGTCAGACTTCACAAAATTCAACTGTAGTGTCACCGAAAACGTAGAGAGGGCACCACACAAGTGAGAATGTATCTAATTTGCACTAAAATGTAAAAATAATTATCAGGACATGTCGAGAGCAAAACAACTTCCTTCAGCTAAACGCAGACAAAACTGAAATGATTGTCTTTGGTCCCCAGAAACAAAGAGAGAGCGTCATCTGTCATCTACAGTCTCTCTCCCTAAAACCTTCAAACAAGGTCAGAAATCTAGGGGTAATACTGGACTCAGACTTAAATTTTAATAGCCACATCAAAACAGTAACATCAGCAGCTTTTTACCATCTAAAAAACATTGCCAGGATCAAAAACATAGTGTCTAAAGCAGACTTGGAGATTCTTATCCATGCATTTGTCTCCAGTAGGTTAGACTACTGCAATGGCCTGCTCACAGGTCTGTCCAAACAGGCTGTAAAACAGCTGCAGTACATTCAAAATGCAGCAGCTCGAGTCCTGACTAGAACCAGGAAGTACGACCACATTAGTCCTGACTAGAACCAGGAAGTACGACCACATTAGTCCGGTCCTCAGGTCTCTGCACTGGCTTCCTGTGGCTCAGAGAATAGACTTTAAAACAGCTCTGCTTGTTACAAGTCTCTCCATGGCCTCGCACCAAAATATATTAGTGACATGTTAGTCCCATATGAACCAGCCCGGACTCTGAGGAGCACAGGGACTGGACTCCTGCTGGGACTCTGAGGAGCACAGGGACTGGACTCCTGTTAGTGCCCAGAGTCAGAACTAAACATGGGGAGGCTGCTTTTCAGATTCATGCTGCTAAAATCTGGAACAATCTTCCTGAAGATGTGAGACAGGCCTCCTCTCTGACAATGTTTAAAACCAGGTTAAAAACAGTTCTGTTTAGCTGTGCATACAACTGAGGGATTTTATATTTTTATCTTTCTTTTTAATGTTCTGTGATTATTTATGATTTTAATGCTTTTTTGTTCAGCACTTTGAATTGCCTTGTGTATGAGTTGTGCTATATAAATAAACTTGCCTTGCCTTGGTTTATGAGGAAAGAACTGGCTCTGAACCAAAGCTGTAGTCACTGTGAAGAAGAGGAGGGACCACAGAACAGGGATGAGAAGTGAAGTGTGAAGAGGAGAGAAGTGTGAAGAGGAGAGAAGCACAAACTCAAACTTGAGATCTTTGTCAGTTCAGGGGAAACTCTACAGATGCAAGAAAACACAAAACATCAAGTATAAAATCTGCAGGAGCTCCTTAGGTCAGGGGAAAGAGGACAGTCGTCAAACAAAGAGAAGAATGTGTAGAAACAGTTCAGACGCCTCAGAGTCACTCCCTTCTAATAAAACACATTAATGTTTCATGTTTCAGACTGTGGTCTTTACAGACCACAGCTTTACTGCCCTGTGCTCTGGTCGTTGTGTCTATATAAAGTTATAGAGTTATGTAATAAATATACGACGGAACAGTCTGCTCCAGCAGGACAACAGGAGAAACATGAGTTCAAACAGCAGTAGAATGTGACATCACTCTGCTCCTCCTCAGACTCAGACTAACACTTTCTAGTATTGATCTGGTTCAAATCAATGTATTTTCTCCAAACTGCCTGAAATAAAATTGTTAACAACTGGTTTCAGAAGCTGAGGCTCTGTAGCTCTGGCCTCTGATGCCTAATTTACTCTAGTTATAAGTGGGAACTATCTGAGACGACCAGACTCTGTTGGACTTTTCTCTGTGATAAAACACAACACATTCCTGTGTTATTCCGAAGTGTGGATCCTGGTCCTGAATCAGATGGTTGGATCTTACTGGTAATAAGAAGACAGTTCAGATTTATCTGGATTCTGATTGTCCACACTCCTGGGAATCGTATGGACATACTTTCATAATAAGTCTCGTTTGTGTGACATCACATCATTCCAAAGAGCTGCAGATGTAGTTAACGTTGTGGAGGGGAGCGGAAAATATTTCCTGGTAACTGTCTAAAGTCAGGGTAACTTTTCTGTAATCCCAGGAACACTATATTAAACAAAAACTCTCCAGTCTCTCTCTGATTTCTTTCTGGTCTCTTTCTGGTCTCTCTCTAGTCTCTCTCTGGTCTCTTTCTGGTCTCTTTCTGGTCTCTCTATAGTCTCTCTCTGGTCTCTCTCTGGTCTCTCTCTGTTCTCTCTCTAGTCTCTTTCTCTGGTCTCTATCTGGTTTTTCTCTCTCTGGTCTCTCTCTGGTCTCTCTCCCTCTGGTCTCTATCTGGTTCCTCTCTCTCTGGTCTCTCTCTAGTCTCCCTCTCTGGTCTCTATCTGGTTTCTCTCTCTCTCTGGTCTCTCTCTCTGGTCTCTCCCTCTCTGGTCTCTCTCTGGTCTCTCTCTCTCTCTGGTCTCTCCCTCTATGGTCTCTATCTGGTTTCTCTCTCTCTGGTCGCTCTCTGGTCTGTCTCTGGTCTCTCTCTGGTCTCTCTCTGGTCTCTCTCTCTGGTCTCTCTCTCTGGTCTCTTTCTGGTTTCTCTCTCGAGAGAGACGAGGGGGAGACAGGGGGGTATGTGGGGGACACACATGGCAGTGTTTAGTCTCTGTCTGCAGAGCTCCTCTGCTCCTGGGGCTTCTCTCTGTCTATGAAGTGTAATTATGATAAAAAGTGTCTTTGTTCGACATGAAAGAGACGCTAACGACACCACCATTAGGAGCAGTCTCTGTTTACCACGTTTCTCTTCATTAATGAGGAACTATCTGATCAAGAACCATCAGGGAGGATCCACTGTGAGGGTCTACTGTGAGGATACGCACATTTGGACTGTCTTCCCGCCTCAGTTCTGGATCTACAGCCTCAGCCTCAGGTTTCTCATTTTCTCCCACTGGATTCTTAGAGTGGTTCCTCTGATGCAGAGGGTCTAAGGGTCTGAGGGTCTAAGGACATTGGTCATCGGACCCCTGTGGACCAATGGCTCTATGTGTTTTAGGATGATTATACAATACATTTAATTTAATTTAATCCAATTGAATTTGAATTGAGGGTCCACTGTGAGCATCTGTGTTCTTATCATGAGCTGTAACAAAGTTGTGTAGAAGGAAAGAAATGTATGTACTGTATATTTATTATCTATTATTGTTATTGTGTGTTGTTTGTGCCTGCTTGTTAAACCCATGTATGAGAGATGTTTTTCTCTGGTGTGGTCCTCAGCACAGACAGTTTGGATGTACTGCCCCCTGCTGCTCTTTGAGTGACTCACGTCTGTGTCAGAAACAAAGACACTGATGATTCCACATTTCAACACTCTCCGTTTTATTGATCTGAACCAGAGAGTCAGGTCTCTCAGCTGCTGCTGCTGCTGCTGCTCCTGCTGCTCCTGCTGCTGCTCATGTGTCTCTGCTGCTGATGGACTGATGTCTGTTCCCTGCTGCAAACTTCACTTTCCACTGGCTCCTCTGCAGAACAACAACATATAATAGAGGTTCACTATAACCCTTATATGTGAATACATATGTAACTACTGTATATATGTAGCTATATATGTAAATGTTTACACTGTATGTAACTGTGTCAAACTGTTAAAAAGAAAGGAGACATTGGTCTCCTCGAGGCCCCTGCTCTCGACCCTCACCTTGTCTCTCGTCTTTAGCTCTTCTTCTCTCCCCTCCTTGTCCCTTGTCCTTAGCGCCTCCTCTCTCCCCTCCCAGTCCCTCGTCCTTAGCGCCTCCTCTCTCACCTCCCTGTCCCTTGTCCTTAGCGCCTCCTCTCTCACCTCCCTGTCCCTTGTCCTTAGCGCCTCCTCTCTCCCCTCCCAGTCCCTCGTCCTTAGCGCCTCCTCTCTCACCTCCCTGTCCCTTGTCCTTAGCTCCTCCTTTCTCACCTCCCTGTCCCTTGTCCTTAGCTCCTCCTTTCTCACCTCCCTGTCCCTTGTCCTTAGCGCCTCCTCTCTCACCTCCCTGTCCCTTGTCCTTAGCGCCTCCTCTCTCACCTCCCTGTCCCTTGTCCTTAGCGCCTCCTCTCTCACCTCCCTGTCCCTTGTCCTTAGCTCCTCCTTTCTCACCTCCCAGTCCCTTGTCCTTAGCTCCTCCTTTCTCACCTCCCTGTCCCTTGTCCTTAGCTCCTCCTCTCTCACCTCCCTGTCCCTTGTCCTTAGCTCCTCCTCTCTCACCTCCCTGTCCCTTGTCCTTAGCTCCTCCTCTCTCACCTCCCAGTCCCTCGTCCTTAGCGCCTCCTCTCTCACCTCCTTGTCCCGGGACAGAGGGGGGTATCTGGAGATGTCGTCCCGCAGACGGTTGGTCCTGTTCCAGTCCTGTAGCCACAGCTGCCTCCTGTACTCTGACTGCTGTGAGGACAGACGTCTGTAAATGTGCAGGTTCTGATCCTGCAGCAGCTGCAGCTCTGCCCTGCTCCGCTCTGCTCTGAGGCTGCGGGAACACAGTACTTTACTTATTTACATAACTTTTTTAAATCTAATATTAAACTTAGACTTTATCCAAGCTTACACAAATACAATGTCTTCTAAACAAGTGAATTCATTGTGTTATGCATTTACATTAACAGAAATTCATATGAGTAGTAAGATATAACATATATTAAGCAAGTAATGTTTATTTATATAGCGCATTTTACAGACCAAGGTCACCCAAAGATCATTAAAATATTCAAAGTCAGATATTGTTCCAATCATTCCACTCACGGTGATGACGGAAGCGAGTCCAGAACACACTGGACCATCAGCCCCCAATCAACACCATCCATTCACTCTCTCATTTACAGTCATACCTACTGTGCACGTTTTTAGTGGTAGGGGAAACCGGAGCACCCGGAGGAAAGCTGCGCAGACACAAGGAGAACATGCAAACTCCACTCAGAAAGGCCCTGTTCCGACCAGGATTCGAACCCAGGACCAAAAATACAGGTATATACTGTACACAGCTCCAATAGGGAATGATAAGAAGTAAATTTGAATATTTCTCCTAGCGGTTCTAGAAACCTTTTCTTTGAGTTGCATTGTATCATCTTTTGCAGTGTAGTGGTAGTGGTCCAGGTTCTGGTGATAGTGGTTCAGGTGGTGGTGGTAGTGGTTCAGGTTGAGGTGGTAGTGGTAGTGGTTCAGGTTGAGGTGGTAGTGGTCCAGGTTGAGGTGGTAGTGGTCCAGGTTGAGGTGGTACTCAGGCTGGGCGGCACGGTGGCTGAGTGGATAGCACTCTTGCCTCTCAGCAAGAAGGTCCTGGGTTCGAATCCCGGTTGGACCAGGGCCTTTCTGAGTGGAGTTTGCATGTTCTCCCCGTGTCTGCGTAGGTTTCCTCCGGGTGCTCCGGTTTCCCCTACCACTAAAAATATGTACAATAGGTCTGGCATGTGCCTCCTGTACTGGCACCCCTGCTCCCAAAAAAATAACAATTGTAAACCGCTTTGAGACTCCGATGTGCAGTGAAAAGGCGGTATATAAATAAAGATTACTTTTTGGTAGTGGTAGTGGTTCAGGTTGAGGTGGTAGTGGTCCAGGTTGAGGTGGTAGTGGTCCAGGTTGAGGTGGTAGTGGTCCAGGTTGAGGTGGTAGTGGTCCAAGTTCAGGTGGTAGTGGTCCAGGTTCAGGTGGTAGTGGTTCAGGCTGAGGTAGTAGCGGTTGACAGACCTCTTGCTGTGGTAGTGGTTGAGGTGGTCCACCAGGCCCCTGGAGCAGGAGATGGACACCAGTCTGGAGGACAGCAGGCGGTTGTCTTTGTCGATGATGGACAGACGCTCCTCCTGAAGCTTTGTACAAAAACAGTCACAACAAAGTCTCAAAGACCTGATCTGAGATCTACATCACCTCCCCCTTTAAAAAAGGATCTATTTGAGGAGAAACTCTGGCTCATTTCCATGTGTTCAGATGTAGGGTCACCTGCTGCTTCTTGAGCTTGAGCTGCATGTGGGAGGGAGTCCTGGGGCCTTTAGTGTCCACCACCGGCAGAGCAGGAGTCACCTGAGCAGAACATGAGGACATGTCTTCACAGAGTGTGCAGTTGTGTGTAACAGTGCAAAACTTCTTCAATCAAGTCTGATCAGTGAAGAAAACAGAATGTCTTAAAGACAGAGCAGCAGAGAAAAGTGTCCTCTCCTTTTCATCTCTGTCCATACTTCCTGATCACATCCCTTTATGGAAACACAACCAGAGGAAACTATAAAATGACAAATGTAAGAACAAATATGACACTTTGAAGGATTCAGAAAATTTCCAGGAAAATCTCATTCTACTCTTCTCTCCTCCACACAATCTCGTATTCTGCTCCTCACCTCCTCTCCTCCTCCCTATGTTCTGCTCCCCTCTTCCTCACCGTCTCCTTGTGTTCTGCTCCCCTCTTCCTCACCGTCTCCTTGTGTTCTGCTCCCCTCTTCCTCACCGTCTCCTTGTGTTCTGCTCCCCTCTTCCTCACCGTCTCCTTGTGTTCTGCTCCCCTCTTCCTCACTGTCTCCTTGTTGTTCTGCTCCTCACCTCCTCCTTATGTTCTGCTCCTCTTCCTCACCTTCTCCTTGTGTTCTGCTCCTCTCTACATCTCACCTTCTTCCTGTGGTTGTCGTAGTCAGCTTGGTCCCACTTCTGCTGTAGATATCTGTTCGTGACAGGTTTCAGAGGCTGATACGAACGATGCATGTTCTCTCTGTGCAGCTGTGTCCTCTGTGATCCTCTGTAGCAGCAAACCTAAAGTCTATGATCTTATCTTCTCTGAGGCGACAGAATTTCTGAAGCTTGTTTTGTCTCCATGGCAATAAACCCTCTGTCTTTGAATGCAAACGGATAAAGTTCACATGAATTATTACTGAGCAGGATATTCTAGCACCTCTGTGTCTCTGACAGAGACGCCTCTGTGTGGGACAGAGACATCTCTGTGTGGGACAGAGACAGAGACACCTCTGTGAGGGACAGAGACACCTCTGTGTGGGACAGAGACACCTCTGTGAGGGACAGAGACACCTCTGTGAGGGACAGAGACACCTCTGTGAGGGACAGAGACAGAGACACCTCTGTGAGGGACAGAGACACCTCTGTGTGGGACAGAGACACCTCTGTGAGGGACAGAGACAGAGACACCTCTGTGAGGGACAGAGACAGAGACACCTCTGTGAGGGACAGAGACAGAGACACCTCTGTGAGGGACAGAGACAGAGACATCTCTGTGTGGGACAGAGACAGAGACACCTCTGTGAGGGACAGAGACAGAGACACCTCTGTGAGGGACAGAGACACCTCTGTGTGGGACAGAGACACCTCTGTGAGGGACAGAGACAGAGACACCTCTGTGAGGGACAGAGACAGAGACATCTCTGTGTGGGACAGAGACAGAGACACCTCTGTGAGGGACAGAGACACCTCTGTGTGGGACAGAGACACCTCTGTGAGGGACAGAGACAGAGACACCTCTGTGTGGGACAGAGAAACTTCTGTGCGGTACAGAGATATCTCTGTGTGGGACAGAGACACCGCTGTGTGGGACGGGGAGGACAGTCTGTGATTAAAAAAATAAACACATAAACGTTGGTTCATTGTTTTTACTTGTTCAAAGATTAAATGGAAAGAAACATGTGACTTTGAATGTTTAATCAAAATAACTGATATTTTCCACTTTATGAATGAGACCCACATTTTAACATCAGAGGTTAGCTCTCACTGCCCTCGAGTGGCTGTTTGCAAAACGACACATTTGATATTGAAAACAATCAGCTTGAGTGTATTTATAATCTTCTGCTGAGATCCAGGGTAGTGTAACCCTGCCTCTCCTCTCTCTTTTTCCCCCCCGAGGAACACACTGAGATGCAAACGGAATGAGGAGCACAAAGCACATAATAAGTAATATTAAATATTGATAAATTCATTATTCATAGAATGTACAGCTTTGTGCTAGTTCCTTATATTTAGTTTTTTCTAGATCTAAAAATAGTTAAATAACTTACATAACTGATAAAGTTAACAATGTCCTCACAAATCTCATTCTGTGTGATTCTAAAACAAACAGACCTGTAAAAACACATATAATTTCAACAAAAATATGTGGCTATAGCTTTATTTTTCGAAAAAGTTGAAAAAGAAAGTGTGGGACCTCTGTGTGGGACAGAGACAGAGACACCTCTGTGTGGGACAGAGACTGGGAGGAGACTCTGTGATAAAAAGAATAAACACATAAACATTGGTTCATTTTCTTACTTAACTTGAAATATTAAATGAAACATATGATAGAAACATGTGATTTTGAATATGTTCAAAATAAATGATATTTTCCAGTTTATGAATGAGACCCACACTTTAACACTAGAGGTTAGCTGTGACTGCTCTCTAGCGGCTGTTTGCAGAATGACAGGTTTTAAATTGAAAACTGTTGCAGTTTGAGTGTAGCTCTCTCTCTCTCTCTCTCTCTCTCTCTCTCTCTCTCTCTCTCTCTCTCTCTCTCTCTCTCTCTCTCTCTCTCTCTCTCTCTCTCTCTCTCTCTCTCTCTCTCTCTCTCTCTCTCTCTCTCTCTCTCTCTCTCTCTCTCTCTCTCTCTCTCTCATTAAATGACTTAATGACAAATTCATTATTCATAGAATGTACAGCTTTGTGCTAGTTCCTTATATGTACAGTTTTGTCTAGAGCTGAAAATGGTTATCATGTTATAACTGAAAAAGCTAACAATGTCCTCCCAAATCTCATTATGTGTGATTATAAAACAAATAGACCTGTAATTACACGAAAATATGTGGCAATAGCTTTCAAAACAGTTGCTTCTATCACTGGTTTTCACATGATGTATTTTTAGCCTATGTCACATCTTTAACTCTCAGCCCAAAGAGTCAGATAATGACTCTCTGGGCTCTTGACTTAGAAGAAGCAGAAGTTACCTTGTTTCTAATAAGATGCAGGATGTTGACTGGGACCAACCACGTGGATTATTTATGGGGGAACAGCGGTATATTTTAGTGACAAAATGCTTCATAATAAACCATTGTGTTTAGTTTATCTATAGCAGCCGACCCCTCTCACCTGCACATGGACTATTCCAACCACTCCCCTCTCACCTGCACATGGACTATTCCAACCACTCCCCTCTCACCTGCACATGGACTATTCCAACCACTCCCCTCAGGCAGAAGGCTGCGGTCCATCAGGACTAGAACCTCCCGCCACAAGAACAGTTTCTTCCCCTCTGCTGTTGGACTCTTGAACACTTCTTAACCTGCCCCCCCGCCCTTTATAAAGTCACTTTACTGCCCATCATACGTCACTTTACTTCACTGTACTGCTGTCACCTTACATTGTGTGCACCATGTGCACTTGTATATTGTAAATAGTAACTGTAACTCTATTTTAAATTTAAATTTATTCTTTAGAAGTGTTTTTTATTCTTATTTATATTATCTCTTTTTGACTGTTGCACTGAGCCAAAGCAATTTCCTAGTCTGTGACCTCCTGTTACTTACGTGGCAATAAAAATGATTCTGATTCTGATTCTGAGCAGACGTGTGACATCACAGGAGCAGCTCCAGCTCCAGTCCAGACTCCACTCTCCAGGTTTTGCTCGGTTGAATCTACAGCCATTTAGCCTTCACGGAGCTCCCCTTCCGTCTGCCCCCGTCTGCGCGTCTCCAAACACGGATACCTCTCCTCCAACAGCCCCCGGGACTCCTGCTGCAGCCATGCCGCTCTGAGACGCGCTGCCCCCGGACCCAAACCCGGAGAAGGACCTCGTTAAAGCCGCTGTTTGTCGCTTGTTTTCGCCACTCTCCCCGTGGATGTGTCCGTGATGGCTGCGCGCTGCTGAACCCGGAGCACGTTGACTTCTTGCAGACACACACTAACGCTAACGCTCCCGGTTTGGACCCGTTTTAACACCGTTTTCCCCCGGATTATTGCTACGTATGGAGTGCACATGAATGTTGGTCGGATAGGGATATCTAACGGGGTAAGTGGACGAGGTAGGCTGGCTCTCACTGCTGGATTGTGGACTGGATGTTTTTCAGCCGCGGGTTAGCTTAGCAGGCTAGTTCTGCCTTTGTCTGCAGAGACCGGGGAGCTAAAGGCATATGCTTCCATTATCGGACACAGCAGAGTAACGGCATCTCTGACAACATTTACCTTCTAACGTTCACCGTAAAGCTTTTAATTATTCGGTTTAATCACAGCGGAATGCCTTTGACAGCTCTGTTGTTGCTATCAAACCAACCAGATTAGCAAACATCGCTTCATGCTATCATTAATGGTAACTTAATAGCCAAATCCCTTAACAAGCTACCAAAACACAACAACACAGGCCTCCAGCTGAAGTGGACTTTGAAGTACTTTCGGTGGCTTTATTATTAAAACATTATGCACATACTTAAGCTCAAGATGCAGTTTGTGATCTTTGAAATGTTAGTCCCACAACTTAATCTTAAACGTCTTTGTGGTCAAACAGTAGCTCAAGTTATAGATCATTACAAAGTCGTGTCTTGTTTTGGTGAAAAATATCAATGAATGACAAGTTACGTGAGTTTAAAGATATGATGGAGGGTTTTCTCAAATTTTAGGAAAGAACTCCACTTTTTGACTGGTCTTGTTTGACGAGGACGGTTCACCAGAATGATGACAATTAGGAGGATCAATAGTCTTGATGATCCACCCGGAAGTAGAATATCCTACTATATCCCTTTAACTTTAGAAGGTAGTATTGTTTTGAAGTTGTTAAATAATAGCCAACTACCAAACTAACTTTAAACTGGGAGATGTATGTGTATCTTAAAGGTGCTAACATCTGCATAATCACATTGATGAACTGACAGTTGGATCAGATGCTAAATATGATCCAACATGGACTTCTGTAAGATATGCTTTATTTATCTCTCAAAGGAGAAATGCACATGTCACATTTGGCATGGATAGAAACACTAAAGATTGGGCAAAGAGAGAGGAAATGTGCAAATATGGTAAATGTAGGATATATTATGTACAATAAAAAGTGACAATTTAAAAGTGGCAATCAGAAACAGTGTCAATAGTAGTGCAGGTTTTTTCAGTCTTAATACAGTGACTCAAAGTGACTTGTTGTACAGTCTGACAGCGGTGGGGATAGTTTAGACATACATTTTTTTCACCTGTTATTATCATGTACCATTATAAGTATAGCAATTTTAAATGAGCTGGCCTTTTAAGACGTTTTTCATTAGGCAAGGTATGTTTATTTGTATAGCCCAATTAGTACATGAGACATCAAGACAGGACATTAACTCTTTATAATACATTTTAACGTGTGTCAATTGTCAAAAGCACCTGGATTTATAACTGTCAGAGTAGATGCTTGGCTCACTTTTTCAGGAAGACGTTTTAGATTTTACCTGCTCTTAAAACTTAATAATGTTGTATCTGACATTTTGTTCCCACGGTTGTAATGGAAATGCAATGGGAAATCAGGTATCACACGATCGTGTCCGATAATGGGTTCACTCATTCACGCCTTGCTGGGATGCTGAAGGCGCTCCATTCGTGATGCATTTATATTGTCAATACTTTAGAGTGAAGTTGGTGGCAGTAAATCAAGCGTGAGTCATGTAATAAAAGCCGAATATCAGTCTGGAGTGCGTGATAATGTCACAAAGCCACGTGTAGAATGTATAGTGTCCAGTTCAGACAGTGACAAACTTGTGCAAGAGATTGTGAAACCTGGAAAGCAGCGCTGCGTCCGATAATGGAACTAGTTAGCTGTGAAGCGGGCCACAGCGGGCCTCTGCGTCTTGGTCACAGAATGTCACAAAAACGCCAATATCCCAAAGTGTTTCTACGTGATGCACGAATTGAAGTTGTTTCTAAACCGGAACACACGTCTCCGGGGGTTACTGTCAGAGCACAGGGCAGATACTGAGTGTACCCCACGGTTGTAGCTTGTTTGTTAGCATTCGGCTAAAGGACACTGGGCCCTGAGCACCACTGCTAGCAGCGAACCCCTCGACTATTTTAGCACCGTTTTCGTTTTTAACTGCATTTATCTCTACTATTTCATCACACATAGGGCACATGGCACACACTCTCCAATATGTCTTTACTCAATGCTCATGTGTGTTGATCATTATAGATATACAATGAAAACAACGGCGCGTTAGCTTAGGCTAGCTCAAAGCTAAGTCATAGAGCTCCGGCCTAATAGTGACCCGCTCACAGAAAATGGAATCGGATTTGTGGATAAACAGACATTAGAGTTTTGAGGCGGTAACTGCAATATTTCATCCGTTATATGTAGAATCTGGCATTATAAAGGGGAAACACTAATTTCCTTCAGGCTGAATGGTGGGGCCTTGCTCTCTTATTGGCATGTGAGGGAAAAACACTTCATAGGGGGAATCCCCCACTTTAGTATTTATGTAATGTGATTTAAGTTGACACAGCACTGAAACCTACCTTCATTATCATTACATTGACAGCATTTAGCCACTTCATTGATTGTATTGAGCCTGAAATCATATTAATATAGTTGTATATATGGTGCATTCCTCCTGTGTTGTCTTATTGGCATGAGTACTTGAACAAATGCTAAAACCACAACATTATAAATAAGTATACTTCGGTATCTGCAATGCCATGTATAGGACGTTTCTGTTTTCTGTACATTGTCCTTGTGTTATTGTTATATGTGCTTTCTGTTTTTGGCTACTTTCTGTTATCGAGCCTGGAGTCTGGTTCTTGGAGAAAGTGCTCTAGAGCTATTTCACTCTGGAAAGTCAATGATCAAAGAGTCTGAAGTCTGGACTTTGACCTTTGTCACAGTGACTCTACACAAAATAGTTATGTGGACATCATCTCTGCTTTTATTTAATCTGAAACCTACATTATCTCTCCTGTTTGTTTACCTTATTTAGCTGGAAAACCCCACAGAAATTTTGAGGAGTATCCCAGTACGAGGAGGCGATAATATTGCAAAAGTGACTTTGGCGATAAGCGTTTTCATATTCTTGAGTATTATTTGAGTTAGTTTTTTCGGCGCTGCAAAAAACACAGGAGATGAACTTCCTCGCTTCACGCATGTGCTCCAAGACAACCCAGGACTAACTCAGGACTGACAATAGGGTACACAATTCTTGTGAACATATGCCTCCAGCCTGAGTTCACATTCTCCTATGACTGTAAACAAGTGGTGCTATGTGCGTAGATACAGAAGTACCGGTTAATATTAGAATTAGGGCTGTCAAAATTATCGCGTCAACGTGAATTATTTTCATTAATTGCGATAAAAAAAAAAGCATTTGACTAGAGCTGTGGCTATTGAATATTTTGGTAATCGATTATTCTATCGAATACACCGATCGATTAATCGAGAAAATTGCCTAATCAAAAATATACAATATCAAATGAAAACCATTTAATAATGACAGCTGTTTTTAAATTGTATACAGTTTATTGTCTTCATATTATCAAAAGAAGACATGGCAGCAGCGATTGCACCTGTACCACTGTTGATTTTTGAGTCCTTCCAGATTGAACAGAATCAGATGAGGATATTCAAAATGCTATCTGTCAGAACAGCTGCTGGTGCTGGGAGCAGGAACTGTTCCTAAACAGGCTGTGATGGTTTACTGAAAGACAGGGGAAAACGGACGTTAAATATCAATCACATACCCCTTCCAGATTCAATGTCCTATATTAGATAAACACTGCTGCCCTCAAATGTCGTGCATCTCTGCAATAATTATAATATGCAATAAAGAACCACATGTGTCTGACTATATACTATACAATACACAGCATTTTATACTTTTTTCTATTAAAAGTTAGAGCTTTTATTTAATTTTAGTATATTGTTATTGTTCACATCTCTTGTACCGTGTGCTCCTCAGTTTTGTTACTGCTGATGGATCTTGGTCCACAGTTTTCATACAGCAGGGCTTAAAGAGTTCCGTCGGGGTGACAGATTTCCGTCAAATGAAATTGTTTTCTTTGCTTTAACCCCTGGCATATTATGTACGGAGTTCAAATAACTTTTGTGGAGTAGTATAATACCTGTCGGCACTAGGATTGAAGTGAATGTCAAATGAAGTATCTATTAATACAAATATAATCACGAGTGAGACTTGAATGTGCCGTGGCCATAGCTACTTGAGTGCTCCGCAAATGAAAGGCACTGGGACGCTGACCTCACACACAAATGAAGACGCTGCCAAATTAGCAATGGTAACACGGAGGTGAAAGTTTCTGGCAAAGTACACGGAGCTTTTGAAAAGAACAAGAGGATAAGGAAAATTGAATCCCGAACGGAGCAATAACAGCCAGCAGCCCCGCGGTACAAACTGGGCGCGTTATAGACGAAAGGCAGGACATAATTAATTAACGTTAAATAAAATAGCATTGCGTTTGGTTAACGGAATGTACAAAACGGACTTTCCTGGGACTGGGAATGGGGACGATCGCATGCAAAACTATGCGTGATTAAAAAAAGAGCCAATCAACGAGAGCGAACAGAAGAAACTGGCTGAAGTGTAGTGTAGTGTGTTAGCGCGTCTTATATTAAAAGCTAGCTTAGCATGCACGCACAATCACAATCATGGATTCGTTGTTTATGGAAGAAGGAGCACAAGTTGCAATTGATAACGGAGTGAAAAATAAATGGAGGTGGGCTTGGCTTGATGAGGTGGGAGACGATGGGATTCCGTTGCGGTCATGGTGCAAAAAGATGAA